AGAGACTGGACATGTATTAATGTAGAGAGGACTAGACAATGTGTTGTTGTAGAGACTGGACATGTATTAATGTAGAGAGGACTAGACAATGTGTTGTTGTAGAGACTGGACATGTATTAATGTAGAGAGGACTAGACAATGTGTTGTTGTAGAGACTGGACATGTATTAATGTAGAGAGGACTAGACAATGTGTTGTTGTAGAGACTGGACATGTATTAATGTAGAGAGGACTAGACAATGTGTTGTTGTAGAGACTGGACATGTATTAATGTAGAGAGGACTAGACAATGTGTTGTTGTAGAGACTGGACATGTATTAATGTAGAGAGGACTAGACAATGTGTTGTTGTAGAGACTGGACATGTATTAATGTAGAGAGGACTAGACAATGTGTTGTTGTAGAGACTGGACATGTATTAATGTAGAGAGGACTAGACAATGTGTTGTTGTAGAGACTGGACATGTATTAATGTAGAGAGGACTAGACAATGTGTTGTTGTAGAGACTGGACATGTATTACTGTAGAGAGGACTAGACAATGTGTTGTTGTAGAGACTGGACATGTATTAATGTAGAGAGGACTAGACAATGTGTTGTTGTAGAGACTGGACATGTATTAATGTAGAGAGGACTAGACAATGTGTTGTTGTAGAGACTGGACATGTATTAATGTAGAGAGGACTAGACAATGTGTTGTTGTAGTGACTGGACATGTATTAATGTAGAGAGGACTAGACAATGTGTTGTTGTAGAGACTGGACATGTATTAATGTAGAGAGGACTAGACAATGTGTTGTTGTAGAGACTGGACATGAATTAATGTAGAGAGGACTAGACAATGTGTTGTTGTAGAGACTGGACATGTATTAATGTAGAGAGGACTAGACAATGTGTTGTTGTAGAGACTGGACATGTATTAATGTAGAGAGGACTAGACAATGTGTTGTTGTAGAGACTGGACATGTATTAATGTAGAGAGGACTAGACAATGTGTTGTTGTAGAGACTGGACATGTATTAATGTAGAGAGGACTAGACAATGTGTTGTTGTAGAGACTGGACATGTATTAATGTAGAGAGGACTAGACAATGTGTTGTTGTAGAGACTGGACATGTATTAATGTAGAGAGGACTAGACAATGTGTTGTTGTAGAGACTGGACATGTATTAATGTAGAGAGGACTAGACAATGTGTTGTTGTAGAGACTGGACATGTATTAATGTAGAGAGGACTAGACAATGTGTTGTTGTAGAGACTGGACATGTATTAATGTAGAGAGGACTAGACAATGTGTTGTTGTAGAGACTGGACATGTATTAATGTAGAGAGGACTAGACAATGTGTTGTTGTAGAGACTGGACATGTATTAATGTAGAGAGGACTAGACAATGTGTTGTTGTAGAGACTGGACATGTATTAATGTAGAGAGGACTAGACAATGTGTTGTTGTAGAGACTGGACATGTATTAATGTAGAGAGGACTAGACAATGTGTTGTTGTAGAGACTGGACATGTATTAATGTAGAGAGGACTAGACAATGTGTTGTTGTAGAGACTGGACATGTATTAATGTAGAGAGGACTAGACAATGTGTTGTTGTAGAGACTGGACATGTATTAATGTAGAGAGGACTAGACAATGTGTTGTTGTAGAGACTGGACATGTATTAATGTAGAGAGGACTAGACAATGTGTTGTTGTAGAGACTGGACATGTATTAATGTAGAGAGGACTAGACAATGTGTTGTTGTAGATACTAGATATCGTGTCCCCTTGGAAGATGATTAGGCATTGTGCTGTTGTAGAAGAAGACTAGAATATATGTTGTTGTAGAAGAGGACTATGCAGTGAGTTGTCGTGGAAGAGAGCTCCTATGCAATGTGATGTTGAAGTAGAGGACTAGACAATGTGTTGTACAAGAGGACAAGACAATGTGTTGTTGTAGAGGACTAGAAAAGGTGATGTGGTAGGGACTAGATAATGTGTTGTGGTTGAAGATGATCATGCATTGTGTTGGTGTAGAAGATGACTAAACAATGTGTTGTTGGGGACTTGTTGGGAGGTTCTAGACAATGTGAAGCGGTAGAGGAAAGCTACAACCACCACATCTTATGAAACGGTGGTCAACTTTTATTTTTAGACACAAGATGGACTCCTGTAAGCGATTTCTTTTATCTTATCAGTCCCGAATTCTTAAGGACACAAATAGAGACGAACGTACGTACTTCTCAAGAAATAGCAATAACAAAATTTTAGTCAAAATCCAAGTTGTTTTGTGTTTATCATATTTTAATAATGTGTATATATATCAAATTCGGATACAATTGTGAAGGTAATTCAAACCTGAAACTTTCGTTACATTGCTGCATGTAAGTTTGGACACTGTGACAAAACAAAGGAAGGCAACTTTTCGTGCCCTCTTCGGTTAGGCCGTAGGATGGTGCCGTAGATTGTTAGTTCGAGGCCCGGACAAGGCACAATAAAAAGTTGTCTTCCATCGTCAATTGTGTTACAATGTATTCATAAATTGATGTGTGAAAGTTAAATACCACATCACATAAACTTAAAGACACCGAAAGCGAATATCGTCACATTAAAATGCTTTCCAGCTATATCAACAATTCATCATCTTGTTGAACGCAAAACATTGTGTCTGTCTGTTTTGGTGATCTGTATTCCAGTCAGTCTTGCTACAGAGTGAATTTCCTATATTACACGCCAAACCCAGGTAAACAATTTGTTTCTTCCCTTTTCCTTGTGAGGGAGGTCAGTACCCGAGGTCCGTACCCCTATAATTAAATGGTAGTTGGAGCGACTCTGATACTGAAGCCTGGTTAACTAGTGTTTCTTCTTACGGGAGATCGGATAACATGTGCAGGTAGGATTGGACGTACTGACACTTCAAGAAATTCCCACGCTCGAGGATTTAAAGTCACAGTTCCTTCTTTTCACGCTGAGGTGAAGACTGAAGGACCCATTGGGATATTAAAGAGTGATCATTCTTCTGTGTTGTGGCTCTAAATACCCCGTATTAGCATCGTTGAACTCCGCCTTGTCAGCACAGAAACTTGAAAAAAAAACTTATCCATCCTAACTTTCAATTTCGCCACTAAGTTTACAAACTATGCAACCTTTCCTGAGAGAGACTTAAATCCCTCGATTGTTGGTACATACGCCATTGTATTTTCACGGTGATGACAGTGTTTGATAGTTCTTATAAAGAAACAACCGTGTGTTGTAGAGTGGTCGCAATCTGAACCTGGAGTGGTTTGTTAGTGTAGTAGTGTAGATCTTTGCCAGTTTAAACACCAACAAACACACTTGTAAAGGGTTCTCCGATTTATTGATAAAACTACATTTATCACCCTGTAACAATATATAACAATCATTAGCGATGGCTTTACCATAAATTACTTTGTAGATATCGCACATATACAGCACAATATAAATATTTTGATAACAAGCCGTTCGCTTATACATGTAGGTATAGAACTATTAAAATTACAAATACTTTAACTAGATTTACAGTTTCAAATATAATAGTTACATGCTATATTGAGCATAATTATATATAAAGAATATTGCAAATCTTATCATCCATGTACATACAGAACAGATCGTTAAAAACGCAATAAATTGAATATACATCAGACTTTTAAGAGCGTACCCATTTGTGGAATAGGGCGGTGGGATCACTATACAGCCGACGATATAGTACTAATAAGTAACAGTAATCTGCATAAAAAACAAACACAATACAGTAAATTAAAAAATACATATAGCGTTACCGGTACATATATAAATCCGATCACGATTACACAAATCGAATATACTTTGAAAGGAAGCAAATAAATGAATTAGTAATTGCACAATTAATTTAGTGAAAATTAGTAAATGTCTTACCTGTCAAAATTCCATCCTGTCAGTCAAGTGCTTATGGACAGAGTGCCGAATAGCGCGCCAAAAATGACCAAAATACAATAACGACAAAGAAAACACTGACCATTGGCTAAGGAAAGAGCTACTGACGGGATTATCAGAAACTGACCAATCAAGAAATAGAAATACCTTAAACATACTCCAAGGCCAAAATAAAGGGAAACGCATATTTAAATTAATAGACGGACGCTATAACGTATATATGTATTGATATAATAAAAACATGTAATAACGAAATATCGTCTCTGCCACACTAGTAACATATGTATATACAACATTCTTGGTTATAAAACTACCGAGGTCTTTGGTGTTCGAATGTCTCTGTTTGGTCTGGATTTTTGTTTTGATTGGAGTCTTGGTAGTTCCGGCTCCTGTAGTATTTCTGTCAAACATCTTTTATTTTTTCGACTGGAAACGTGTCTAGTTATGGGCATGGCTGCATGTCTTTATCACCGCATTCCCCATTCATCTGCCCACTGTCCATTTTCCCAGGCTCGTTGGTCATTTAGATGAATCACATGGTCCGAAAAATGCATTATTCTATAAAGCAGAAAGTCATCTGCAAGAAGTCTAACGGATGATTCGACCGAATCTGGTAGGTCTCTAGATCGGAAAACAAAAAGGTAGAACAACGATTGATTTTGATTGTTGAATTTTCTTTCCATCATTTTTGGAGAAAATTTCATTTATTAATCCTCTAGCTGTACATGATATAGAAAACACAAAACTACCGAAAAGTGTTATCCCTAGAATTCAACATTTCAGTCGTTTTAACTGTTATTTCTCAATAAGATATTATCACTAACAGGGATTTATCTCATTTGATTTTCTGAGAGTGCACGATTGAAATTAAAGACCAACAGACGACCATCTTGAATTTCATCAAATGAAGGTTATTATCATCATTTCTCAGAATGTACTAGAGTATTTTTTTTCAAATTCGTTTGGTATTTTATGGTCCTTGTTTTGAAACTAAGAATAAAAGCAAGACTGTCCACAGGTGGGTAACCAAAAAGACCGGAAATTCTAACACGGTATTCTCCCCTGAAAGAAACATGGCTGACAGATGGAAATTGTAAACAAACCGACGTTTCGATAGGGCAACTATTGCTGCCCTGCACAGAAACATAATGTTTCAACCTGTGCAACTTCGATCATATGGCTTCGGAGAGAAATCCAAGTTATATAATGCTGCTAAAGGTAATTTGTACTTCAGCAGAATGATCAAAATTAGATGCTACTGCGTTTGTTGTTTCTGTCAGACTCCGAAGCAGACACACTGTCACTGTTGATGGTGAAGACGATATTATATGGTCTAGTGGTGATTACAACTGTTTAATATGGTAGAAATAATTAACATCGAGAAGGAACTCTTTGCATAGATAACAAACTTATCTTGGCAGTTAATCGATTATAAGAAAAATAAAGAATTGATACCTACCTGCACTAACTTAGTCAACATGGAAGGACCAAAACCGACTAGACAGGTCCGACTAATAACCAGGTCAGCATAGAAGACCCTACATAAATAACTACATATGAAGGCAGATGGGACCTAAAGCTAGGCAACATATCAGGGCCAGGAAGCCCTTGCATCACAATGAGTTTGAATGTAAAGTGTCTAATGTCGATATTTCTAGCAGTCTTGCAGGAAATACACCATAAAACTTCATTTCCTGCCAGTATTGTTATCAATAATATTTCTGAACTTTATTGGTTAATTTTCTGAGAAATGTTTCTGTCGGCGATTTACCTTAATTCAGTGTTGATATTTAATTTCTTGTGGACAAACATGCAAAATAATATATATTTTTATGTATATTATGTATATGTATGTTAAAATATTTGGATGAGTTCATTGCACATATTCGGTAAAAGGTGTATTTTAAATTGGTTCGAGACTCCTTTGTCAGTTATTACCTGCATTGGTTAGGTGAAAGATTGGTACGATTTCAAACAATTATCATTGCAGCTCAAATTGATAGTAATCTGAGGTCATTAATATAATCATTTTATCTATCATCTTTACAGGAAACAAGGAGTTTGTCCAGCGCCTGAAGTTGGAGCGGAAGCTTGAGGCACACACTGGATGTGTGAGTTGTTACTGTTTTACCAGTAGGAATAGCACTCCACTTCACCATTGATTTATCAAAATTTGGAAACATTATTTGATGACAAAGTTAAAAACAAGACAGTGAACAAGTAAATGAAGTGTATGATGAAGAGTTTATGGTTTAAATTTCAGCAGTGAGCATTATGAGAGATAATCACTATAGTTTGTGAGGTTATTTGTTGCAATGACCTTGTAAAGCTATTTGTAACTGTTTGTTAAACTGTCTGTAACTAATATCGCTGACAAAGACCTTGTTAAACTGTTTGTAACTAATACAGCTGACAAAGACCTTGTTAAACACAGCTAACAAAGTCCTTTTTAAACTGTTTGTAACTAATATCGCTGACAAAGACCTTGTTAAACTGTTTGTAACTAATACAGCTGACAAAGACCTTGTTAAACTGTTTATAACTAATACAGCTGACAAAGACCTTGTTAAACTGTTTGTAACTAACACAGCTGACAAAGACCTTGTTAAACTGTTTGTAACTAATACAGCTGACAAAGACCTAGTTAAACTGTTTGTAACTTATACAGCTGACAAAGTCCTTGTTAAACTGTTTGTAACTTATACAGCTGACAAAGACCTTGTTAAACTGTTTGTAACTAATACAGCTGACAAAGTCCTTGTTAAACTGTTTGTAACTAATACAGCCGACATTGACCTTGTTAAACTGTTTGTAACTAATACAGCTGACAAAGACCTTGTTAAACTGTTTGTAACTAATACAGCTGACAAAGACCTTGTTAAACTGTTTGTAACTTATACAGCTGACAAAGTCCTTGTTAAACTGTTTGTAACTAATACAGCTGACAAAGTCCTTGTTAAACTGTTTGTAACTAATACAGCTGACAAAGACCTTGTTAAACTGTTTGTAACTAATACAGCTGACAAAGTCCTTGTTAAACTGTTTGTAACTTATACAGCTGACAAAGTCCTTGTTAAACTGTTTGTAACTTATACAGCTGACAAAGTCCTTGTTAAACTGTTTGTAAGTAATACAGCTGACAAAGTCCCTGTTAAACTGTTTGTAACTAACACAGCTGACAAAGTCCTTGTTAAACTGTTTGTAACTAATACAGCCGACATTGACCTTGTTAAACTGTTTGTAACTAATACAGCTGACAAAGTCCTGGTTAAACTGTTTGTAACTAATACAACCAACATTGACCTTGTTAAACTGTTTGTAACTAATACAGCTGACAAAGTCCCTGTTAAACTGTTTGTAACTAATACAGCTGACAATGACCTTGTTAAACTGTTTGTAACTAATACAGCCGACATTGACCTTGATATTTGTAATAATACAGCTGACAAAGACCTTGTTAAACTGTTTGTAACTAATACAGCTGACAAAGACCTTGTTAAACTGTTTGTAACTAATACAGCTGACAAAGACCTTGTTAAACTGTTCGTAACTAATACAGCTGACAAAGTCCCTGTTAAACTGTTTGTAACTAATACAGCTGACAATGACCTTGTTAAACTGTTTGTAACTAATACAGCCGACATTGACCTTGTTAAACTGTTTGTAACTAATACAGCTGACAAAGACCTTGTTAAACTGTTTGTAACTAATACAGCTGACAAAGACCTTGTTAAACTGTTTGTAACTAATACAGCTGACAAAGACCTTGTTAAACTGTTCATAACTAATACAGCTGACAAAGTCCCTGTTAAACTGTTTGTAACTAATACAGCCGACATTGACCTTGTTAAACTGTTTGTAACTGATACAGCTGACAAAGACCTTGTTAAACTGTTTGTAACTAATACAGCTGACAAAGTCCTTGTTAAACTGTTTGTAACTAATACAGCTGACAAAGACCTTGTTAAACTGTTTGTAACTAATACAGCTGACAAAGACCTTGTTAAACTGTTTGTAACTAATACAGCTGACAAAGTCCCTGTTAAACTGTTTGTAACTTATACAGCTGACAAAGTCCTTGTTAAACTGTTTGTAAATTAGTACAGCTGACAAAGATCTTTTTATATCTGGTTTATGATTTCAGGTAAAAAATACATAGAAAAGGAACAAGCAGAAATAGATATCACAAACAGTCTGTTATATTAAGAAATGTAGGAACTATGATCACTCAGATATATGTAAATAATTGAAAATTAATATGTACTTAGTAGAAAGACTGAACAGTCTGAAATATGTAGTTAAGTAGAAAGACTGAACAGTCTGAAATATGTAGTTAAGTAGAAAGTCTGAACACTCTGAAATATGTAGTTAAGTAGAAAGTCTGAACAGTCTGAAATATGTAGTTAAGTAGAAAGTCTGAACACTCTGAAATATGTAGTTAAGTAGGAAGTCTGAACAGTCTTAAATATGTAGTTAAGTAGGAAGTCTGAACAGTCTTAAATATGTAGTTAAGTAGAAAGTCTGAACACTCTGAAATATGTAGTTAAGTAGAAAGTCTGAACAGTCTTAAATATGTAGTTAAGTAGAAAGACTGAACACTCTGAAATATGTAGTTAAGTAGAAAGACTGAACAGTCTGAAATATGTAGTTAAGTAGAAAGTCTTAACACTCTGAAATATGTAGTTAAGTAGAAAGTCTGAACACTCTGAAATATGTAGTTAAGTAGAAAGTCTGAACACTCTGAAATATGTAGTTAAGTAGAAAGTCTGAACAGTCTTAAATATGTAGTTAAGTAGAAAGACTGAACACTCTGAAATATGTAGTTAAGTAGAAAGACTGAACACTCTGAAATATGTAGTTAAGTAAGAAGTCTGAACAGTCTTAAATATGTAGTTAAGTAGGAAGTCTGAACAGTCTTAAATATGTAGTTAAGTAGAAAGTCTGAACACTCTGAAATATGTAGTTAAGTAGAAAGTCTGAACACTCTGAAATATGTAGTTAAGTAGAAAGACTGAACACTCTGAAATATGTAGTTAAGTAGAAAGACTGAAAAGTCTGAAATATGTAGTTAAGTAAGAAGTCTGAACAGTCTTAAATATGTAGTTAAGTAGGAAGTCTGAACAGTCTTAAATATGTAGTTAAGTAGAAAGTCTGAACACTCTGAAATATGTAGTTAAGTAGGAAGTCTGAACAGTCTTAAATATGTAGTTAAGTAGGAAGTCTGAACAGTCTGAAATATGTAGTTAAGTAGAAAGTCTGAACACTCTGAAATATGTAGTTAAGTAGAAATTCTGAACACTCTGAAATATGTAGTTAAGTAGAAAGCCTGAACACTCTGAAATATGTAGTTAAGTAGAAAGTCTGAACAGTCTTAAATATGTAGTTAAGTAGAAAGTCTGAACACTCTGAAATATGTAGTTAGGAAAAAAGTTTGACAACATGAAACATGAAGAAAAGTAGAAACAATATTTAGTGATGTATATCTTATATATATATATTTTTTTTTGATAGGTGAACACGATTTGCTGGAACAACACTGGCCATACAATACTTTCTGGGTCTGACGATCAGCATCTTGTCATCACAGATCCATTCAACAACAAGGTTAATGTTTCACAAGAATAACGCTGCTCTTGATATAACTCTGGACATGGATTATCAAATATTTCTTACAGTTTTAGAAATAAATCTGTAATGTTTGAACAATCAGTTCAAAACACACACACAACAAAAATGCTTTGGAACTAGAATGTACTCATCACAAATTAATAAATTTTCTTTGAATGACCTTTAAACGAATGAGTTAACATAGATTAAACAAATTAGTCCGGTACCAGTAGTGATGTGACATCAAATTAGATACCAGTAGTGATGTGACATCAAATTAGATACCAGTAGTGATGTGACATCAAATTAGTCCGGTACCAGTAGTGATGTGACATCAAATTAGATATCAGTAGTGATGTGACATCAAATTAGATACCAGTAGTGATGTGACATCAAATTAGTCCGGTACCAGTAGTGATGTGACATCAAATTAGATATCAGTAGTGATGTGACATCAAATTAGATACCAGTAGTGATGTGACATCAAATTAGATACCAGTAGTGATGTGACATCAAATTAGATATCAGTAGTGATGTGACATCAAATTAGATACCAGTAGTGATGTGACATCAAATTAGATATCAGTAGTGATGTGACATCAAATTAGTCCGGTACCAGTAGTGATGTGACATCAAATTAGATATCAGTAGTGATGTGACATCAAATTAGATACCAGTAGTGATGTGACATCAAATTAGTCCGGTACCAGTAGTGATGTGACATCAAATTAGATATCAGTAGTGATGTGACATCAAATTAGATACCAGTAGTGATGTGACATCAAATTAGATATCAGTAGTGATGTGACATCAAATTAGATATCAGTAGTGATGTGACATCAAATTAGATACCAGTAGTGATGTGACATCAAATTAGATACCAGTAGTGATGTGACATCAAACTCTGATCCTGACACATATTCCCACTTTGATTTATGGTACTTTTTAACTTCTTGTTGAACTGTGTATCCATTGAAAGCACTTTATCCCCAAAATGGCGGTTGCATTGATGAATGAAATAGTTTGAAAAAATATTAGGATCCAACAGTCATTCAGAAGAATGAAATACATTCATGTTTGTTGGTTTTAATGTCATCATTAGATCTTATTCATGGAGGTGGATATTTAAAACTTTAAGGTCAGAAAATATGGAGTTAAAAACCTGTCTATAGAATCTTACAAGTTGTTAAGTCCTGGCCTCTAACTTCTGAAAGGTGTGTACATAGAATCTTACAAGTTAAGTCCTGGCCTCTAACTTCTGAAAGGTGTGTACATAGAATCTTACAAGCTGTTAAGTCCTGGCCTCTAACTTCTGAAAGGTGTGTACATAGAATCTTACAAGCTGTTAAGTCCTGGCCTCTAACTTCTGAAAGGTGTGTACATAGAATCTTACAAGTTGTTAAGTCCTGGCCTCTAACTTCTGAAAGGTGTGTACATAGAGTCTTACAAGTGTTAAGTCTTGTTAAGTCCTGGCCTCTAACTGGTTAAGTCCTGGCCTCTAACTTCTGAAAGGTGTGTACATAGAGTCTTACAAGTTGTTAAGTCCTGGCCTCTAACTTCTGAAAGGTGTGTACATAGAATCTTACAAGTTGTTAAGTCCTGGCCTCTAACTTCTGAAAGGTGTGTACATAGAATCTTACAAGTTGTTAAGTCCTGGCCTCTAACTTCTGAAAGGTGTGTACATAGAATCTTACAAGTTAAGTCCTGGCCTCTAACTTCTGAAAGGTGTGTACATAGAATCTTACAAGTTGTTAAGTCCTGGCCTCTAACTTCTGAAAGGTGTGTACATAGAGTCTTACAAGTTAAGTCCTGGCCTCTAACTTCTGAAAGGTGTGTACATAGAGTCTTACAAGTTGTTAAGTCCTGGCCTCTAACTTCTGAAAGGTGTGTACATAGAATCTTACAAGTTGTTAAGTCCTGGCCTCTAACTTCTGAAAGGTGTGTACATAGAGTCTTACAAGTTAAGTCCTGGCCTCTAACTTCTGATAGGTGTGTACATAGAGTCTTACAAGTTAAGTCCTGGCCTCTAACTTCTGAAAGGTGTGTACATAGAATCTTACAAGTTAAGTCCTGGCCTCTAACTTCTGAAAGGTGTGTACATAGAGTCTTACAAGTTAAGTCCTGGCCTCTAACTTCTGAAAGGTGTGTACATAGAGTCTTACAAGTTAAGTCCTGGCCTCTAACTTCTGAAAGGTGTGTACATAGAATCTTACAAGGTTTTCTATTTCATATGTGATATATAAAATGAGACTTTTTTGTGAGCCTTTGACAAGCTTGAATGAAAAATTGTTTCAAGTTTCATGAAACAAATATCAAATGGAAACAATTTCCTATTTATGACATGATTGATTAGAAATGCAAATATTTGAGAAAACATTTTTATGTCAGACATGAAGTAATGTTAGCTCTGTATTAGTGATTTTTATTGTCAGGTCACAATGTAATCTGTGAGTGATGTCATTTCATTATCAAAAATCTGATGTCATAAATGCTTATATTAAATTACACATAATCAATACAAAATGATACTGAATGGATATATTTATTCACTGAATTACAAGGCATTTATGGAATCATAAATATAAATAAATAAATAAAAATACTGGTCAAACACTGTTTTCTTGTTTACAGAAAGTTCTGTCCATCCGCTCTGGGCATCGTGCCAATATTTTCAGTGCGAAGTACCTTCCAGCATCAGGAGACAAACAGGTGTGTGTTTTGGGAGATTATTGAATCACTGCTATTAAATGATCAAGTAGTGCTTTGGTTACACACTTATGAAATTACCTTTCATCTCGACAACAAGGTTTTGATTCACTGATTGACACCTGTCCAACCCTTTGAGTTTCCCCTAGGTACTCTGGTTTCTATGACACCTGTCCAGCCCCCTGGGTTTCCCTGGGTATTCTGGTTTCTATGACACCTCTCCAACCCTTTGGGTTTCCCCTAGGTACTCTGGTTTCTATGACACCTGTCCAACCTTTTGGATTTCCCCTGGGTACTCTGGTTTCTATGACACCTGTCCAACCCTTTGAGTTTCCCCTGGGTACTCTGGTTTCTATGACACCTGTCCAACCCTTTGAGTTTTCCCTGGGTACTCTGGTTTCTATGACACCTGTCCAACCCTTTGAGTTTCCCCTGGGTACTCTGGTTTCTATGACACCTGTCCAACCCTTTGAGTTTCCCCTGGGTACTCTGGTTTCTATGACACCAGTCCTACCCTGTGGGTTCCCCCTGGGTACTCTGGTTTCTCTGACACCAGTCCTACCCTGTGGGTTCCCCCCCTCCCCCCCCAACCCTCAACCCCCCTGTGATATCAAAGGGACATAAAGACAATTAGTGGAGATGACAATGGACGATATGGTTGGCCCTTGTGGAATGCTGTGCTATTAACTTTATTACATGACTTATAACTTTCAAGATTTCCGCATCACAAGTTTACAGAAACTATTTTTCACAAAACAGACTGTATTGTACCATGCTACAAATATATGTTGATTATTATCCCTGTCTCTTATCTGTGACAATTATGGGTTATGAAATTATTTGATCTTGATTCTTTTCTGAAAGTAAATCACATACAAAAGAAAGTACAGGAGTTGTGAGAATGTGAGAAAAGATATGTTAAGATATGTAATGTTGGTTATCATATTACTAACTTAATTCATTTTGATGGTTCTTGTTTAGATTGAAAGGTAAAGCCTGATCTAGTGATGTTGTAAATCTATCAGTAATAACTGTGATGTGTTTCAGATCGTAAGTTGTTCTGGTGATGGGAAGATCTATCACACAGAGGTGGAGAGAGCTGATACCTACACCAGTAATCTGTTTGACTGCCATTTTGGCACTACATATGAGGTAAAACCTTATATAAAACATTGCTTGGCTTTTATACCCAGTTTTATATGGAATGATCATACTCATGAAATAATTTTTAAGTTGAGATCTACAGTTTTGTAAAATGTATGATTTTTCAAAATGAGGAAGGATTAAAATGCTGTAAAAAACAGTTTTTCTGATTCGTTGAAATATAAACAGCAGCATTTAATTACCCATACAGCTGAAACAGTAACAGCTTTGAATTCTCAAGACATCTGAACACACCATTTTTGTATGTTTTAACACAATCAGCTGTTGACCTTACCCAAACATCTAAACACTCGTTATTCCATGTAATTGAACGCAATGACTCAGGTGATTTTTTTTGTTCTTAGAACATTTGAACAAGCTTACTAACAAAATGTTTCTGTTGACTGCACTGCACATTGGAGTTCAGCCATCAGTGGTGACTTCACTGTATATTTGAATGAAAATCCAAACATGTTTTACAGGTGTTGGTAGTTCCCAATGAATCCTCCCTATTTCTTTCTTGTGGGGAGGATGGAACAGTTCGTTGGTTTGACCTCCGTGCTAAGTCCAGCTGCACCAAAGAGGACTGTAAAGAGGTGAGAACTTAGGAAAGATGAATTCTATAGAGCTACGGTTTCCACAAAAAATTATTTAATTAGTGTCTTGTTACTGTGTATTGTTACTATAACTGTACTGGTCAAGGTTGTGTAACAACAAGTTGCACTGGTCAAGGTTGTGTAATTTCAGGGTGGACTGGTCAAGGTTGTGTAATATCAGGGTGGACTGGTCAAGGTCGTGTAATATCAATTTGGATTGGTCACAACCATGTAATATCAGGGTGGACTGTTCAAGGTCGTGTAATATTAGGTTGGACTGTTCAAGGTCGTGTAATATCAATTTGGACTGGTCACAATCATGTAATATCAGGGTGGACTGGTCAAGGTCATGTAATATCAGGGTGGACTGGTCAAGGTCATGTAATATCAGGATGGACTGTTCACAATCATGTAATATCAGGGTGGACTGGTCAAGGTCATGTAATATCAGTGTGGACTGGTCAAGGTCGTGTAATATCAATTTGGACTGGGCAAGATCAAGCAATATTAAGGTGAACTAATATGTACATGTACAATTTAAGATATTTGGATATTTTATGATGTTGCTGTCACATTTTTTGTTTACATCATTGAATGTGTAAACAGAGACTCCACTCCATTCATTTTGATATACCCTGTTACCAATAGTTGTACTTAATGTCCAAAAGTAGAGCACTTAATACAATGTGTACGATCCGTAGATCTTTTCCTGTGGACTACATGGGGTGAAGTTAATGATTCAGATTTTAGGATCAACAACCTTGGTTTTTGTCATTGTGAGGATACTTCTCTTGAGTACAACTCTGGAAGTTTGTTCAAAATTCAACAAACTTCTGGATGGATTAATACCACAAATCCTAGGTTTCTGTGATGGGAATGTTTAATTGATGTTCAATGTGTACGATCCGTAGATCTTTTCCTGTGGACTACATGGGGTGAAGTTAATGATTCAGATTTTAGGATCAACAACCTTGGTTTTTGTCATTGTGAGGATACTTCTCTTGAGTACAACTCTGGAAGTTTGTTCAAAATTCAACAAACTTCTGGATGGATTAATACCACAAATCCTAGGTTTCTGTGATGGGAATGTTTAATTGATGTACTACTTTTCCTGAATTTTAGGATCCCATAATGAGTACTGAATATTTCAGTTTGTTTCTTAATTAAAAAAAAAAGGTATTTGGGTGAAAGTGACTCAAAATTAAGGACAGGGAGCACTTCTTTTCTTATTATGAAAACAATTCCAAACATTTTGCCATCAAGGCAGCAAGTTTTGAAAAAACTTAAATTTTCAGAACATTGTCAAATTTTTCAAATTGGACATTTTTCAGTTGCTGTTGAGATTTGTGACTGTCAAATCCAATTGAAAATCTCTTGCCTATTATTCCTGTATCACTCTGTTGCATATTAATGGATGAAGGAATTGGCTAGTAATTTAGATTGCCTCTAAATAATCAAGAATACTCGATATTCATGCAAAAAATTAAGAAAGAAAATGCATTCTGCCATCAAATCTTTCAAAAAAATCAGCAGAGTTCCTTATGTCCTTAACACAACCATTTTTATTGGAGAAAACAACATAAATGAAATATAAAGAAATGTATTGATGAATTGTTGATTTGTTGGTCCAATCAATCTCTTGACACCAGAGTGCAGAGAAATGGAATGTCAGCAGTCCTAGGAAAACCTACTAGTTATTTTTATTTTGTATTATTTTTAAAGGATGTACTGATAAACTGTCATAGAGCAGTTACCTCCCTTGCTGTGAATCCATTCATACCCTATCACCTGGCCATAGCATGTTCTGATAGCTCTGTTCGTATCTTTGATAGACGTATGCTTGGGACAAGGGCTACAGGTAAGTGTACTATATAATAAAAGTTATTAGATAAAGACATGGAAACAATGGCACCACATTCTAGTTACAGCTATAATCATTAGATACTGGTTTAAACATAATAATGCATGCTGCTATACATTAAAATGAAGCATAAAACATCAGGGCTCTCGATCTGCCAGATTTGGGGCCGATTCCCAATGCAAAATAACATCTTTTTTTCCCAATTTAGACCCCAAATTTTCCTAATTCTAAGGAAAACACCTTTTTTCCCCCAATTCTAAGGGCCCCGGGCCCCAGTCCCAAAATGGGGTGTGAGAGCCCTGAACATGTATTGTGTAATACCACTACTATCTATTGATAGATAAAGTAATTATAAAGCATGGCAGGGATATTTATTTGTTACAAGGTAACTATATGTGACATGGTATCACAGAGATATTTTATTTGTTACTAGGTAACTATATGTGACATGGTATCACAGAGATATTTTATTTGTTACTAGGTAACTATACTGGACATGGTATCACAGAGATATTTTATTTGTTGCTAGGTAACTATATGTGACATGGTATCACAGGGATATTTTATTTGTTACTAGGTAACTATATGTGACATGGTATCACAGGGATATTTTATTTGTTACTAGGTAACTATATGTGACATGGTATCACAGGGATGTTTTATTTGTTACTAGGTAACTATACTGGACTAGGTAACTATAATTGACATGGTATCACAGAGATATTTTATTTGTTACTAGGTAACTATATGTGACATGGTATAACAGGGATATTTTATTTGTTACTAGGTAACTATATGTGACATGGTATCACAGGGATATTTTATTTGTTACTAGGTAACTATACTGGACATGGTATCACAGAGATATTTTATTTGTTGCTAGGTAACTATATGTGACATGGTATCACAGGGATATTTTATTTGTTACCAGGTAACTATATGTGACATGGTATCACAGGGATATTTTATTTGTTACTAGGTAACTATACTGGACATGGTATCACAGAGATATTTTATTTGTTGCTAGGTAACTATACTGGACATGGTATCACAGAGATATTTTATTTGTTGCTAGGTAACTATATGTGACATGGTATCACAGGGATATTTTATTTGTTATTAGGTACATATGCTGGACGCAGTATTACAGGGATGATGTGTCGCTTTACTGCTCCTACACTTTCTGGACGTTCTTACAGAATCACCTCCCTGAACTACAGCCCAGATGGCGATGATGTTCTTGTTAGCTACTCCTCAGAGTATATTTACCTGTTTGGTCATAAGGTGAGCTCAGTCATATTCTAAAATTTCTAAAAAAATAATTGTCTCATGAACTTATTTAGAAAAAAGCATTATTGTAATCACACCTGACTTTTCAGTCACTAAATGTAGTCCTATTTTTGTGCTTGTGCTTTTTTCAGGAAAACAAGTACAAATGTTTGGGGAAAAGCCTTCCATTAGAGACAAAATCATCTAGTCCTCGACACCAGAATGTGGTATGTTAGTATATAACCTCTAACCTTTGAGACCATAATATGGTATGTTAGTATATAACCTCTAACCTTTGACACCATAATGTGGTATGTTAGTATATAACCTCTAACCTTTGACACCATAATGTGGTATGTTGGTATATAACCTCTAACCTTTGACACCTGAATGTGGTAGGTTTATATAACCTCTATTCTTTGACACCAGAATGTGGTATGTTTGTATATAACCTCTAACCTTTGACATATGGTGGGTTGATGTAGGTATGGTGGGTTGATGTAGGTATGGTAGGTTGATGTAGGTATGGTGGGTTGATGTAGGTATGTAGGGTTGATGTAGGTATGGTAGGTTGATTGTAAGTATGGTAGATATGATGGTTGATGTAGGTATGGTGGGTTGATGTAGGTATGGTAGGTTGATGGTAAGTATGGTAGATATGGTGGGTTGATGTAGGTATGGTGGGTTGATGTAGGTATGGTAGGTTGATGTAGGTATGGTGGGTTGATGTAGGTATGGTGGGTTGATGTAGGTATGGTAGGTTGATGTAGGTATGGTGGGTTGATGTAGGTATGGTGGGTTGATGTAGGTATGGTGGGTTGATGTAGGTATGGTGGGTTGATGTAGGTATGGTGGGTTGATGTAGGTATGGTAGGTTGATGGTAAGTATGGTAGGTTGATGTAGGTATGGTGGGTTGATGTAGGTATGGTAGGTTGATGTAGTTATGGTGGGTTGATGGTATGGGTTTTGTAGGTATGGTTGGTTGATGTAGTTATGGTGGGTTGATGTAGGTATGGTGGGTTGATGTAGGTATGGTGGTTGATGTAGGTATGGTAGGTTGATGTAGGTATGGTGGGTTGATGTAGGTATGGTGGGTTGATGTAGGTATGGTAGGTTGATGTAGGTATGGTGGGTTGATGTAGGTATGGTAGGTTGATGTAGGTATGGTGGGTTGATGTAGGTATGGTAGGTAGTTATGGTAGGTTGATGTAAGTATGGGTTGATGTAGGTATGGTGGGTTGATGTGTAGGTATGGTGGGTTGATGTAGGTATGGTGGGTTGATGTAGGTATTGTGGGTTGATGTAGTTGATGTAGGTATGGTGGGTTGATGTAGGTATGGTGGGTTGATGTAGGTATGGTAGGTTGATGGTAAGTATGATAGATATGGTGGGTTGATGTAGGTATGGTAGGTTGATGTAGGTATGGTAGGTTGATGTAGGTATGGTGGGTTGATGTAGGTATGGTGGGTTGATGTAGGTATGGTGGGTTGATGTAGGTATGGTGGGTTGATGTAGGTATGGTGGGTTGATGTAGCTATGGTGGGTTGATGTAGGTATGGTGGGTTGATGTAGGTATGGTGGGTTGATGTAGGTATGGTGGGTTGATGTAGGTATGGTGGGTTGATGTAGGTATGGTAGGTTGATGTAGGTATGGTAAGTATGGTAGATATGGTGGGTTGATGTAGGTATGGTGGGTTGATGTAGGTATGGTGGGTTGATGTAGGTATGGTGGGTTGATGTAGGTATGGTGGGTTGATGTAGGTATGGTAGGTTGATGTAGGTATGGTAGGTTGATGTAGGTATGGTGGGTTGATGTAGGTATGGTAAGTATGGTAGATATGGTGGGTTGATGTAGATATGGTAAGTATGGTAGATATGGTAGGTTGATGTAGGTATGGTGGGTTGATGTAGGTATGGTGGGTTGATGTAGGTATGGTAGGTTGATGTAGGTATGGTGGGTTGATGTAGGTATGGTGGGTTGATGTAGGTATGGTGGGTTGATGTAGGTATGGTGGGTTGATGTAGGTATGGTGGGTTGATGTAGGTATGGTAGGTTGATGTAGGTATGGTAGGTTGATGTAGGTATGGTGGGTTGATGTAGGTATGGTGGGTTGATGTAGGTATGGTAGGTTGATGTAGGTATGGTGGGTTGATGTAGGTATGGTAGGTTGATGTAGGTATGGTAGGTTGATGTAAGTATGGTAGGTTGATGTAAGTATGGTAGGTTGATGTAGGTATGGTAGGTTGATGTAAGTATGGTAGGTTGATGTAGATGTTATATTCAAACAAACATGATAATATTGTATATATGATTACACGTACCTTGCTTTTTAATTCTTCTGATGTTGACTTTTATATGTTACAGACTGATGACAGCTTAGAGCCCATCAAACAGTCATTAGAGGTGACTAACTCTAAACAGGCACGCTCCCATACTGTCCCAGGTGGTAGCACTAACCAGCCACAAACAGGACAAAAAGGACAGGATGAGGGAGGAACAAAAAGTGGGATAGGCAGCAAGAGTAAGGATGGAGGGAAGGGAAGTGGGAAGAGCAGAAAAGATGATGAGGGAAAGTCCGGGGATGGAAAAGACTTAGGAAAAGGAAAACTTATGACAGAGGTTTTGGGGAAAGTAAAAGGAGGGAAGGCTGAAGACAGCAAAGAAGAGAAGAATATAACAGGGGAAGAAATGAAGGAAACCACAGGGAGAGACAGAGAAGAACATTTAGATAATACAACAGTACCAAAGGAATCTGAGGAGGATATCCAAACAAAGGTGGAGAGAGGACCTAGTTCAGTTAGAGAAGGAAATGTCGAGGAACAGTCAGGGAATGAGTTGTTAGAAGTAAGTAGAGGGGGAGGGGCTAGATCAGGAGGGGCTAGAGGTGTAGACGCTGCTAGAGCCATGGGTGGGGCCCTGCCTGGAGATGTGAGTGGAACGTTGGGTGGAGTGATAGCTGGAGACATGGGTGGAGCTAGCACCTCATCAGCTACAGAGGCCTTAGAGGAGTCTGCTGCAGGACACCCACCCATAAAGCGTCTTCGTCTGCGTGGTGATTGGTCAGATACAGGACCAAATGCACGTCCAGAGAGTGAGCGGCAAGCCCAGGGGACAGGTAAACTGTGATTCCTAACGCATAAGTGCTAGTTTAAGACAAATGTATATTTTGTTTGAGAATTCAAATAGTGTATCTCTGAATGAAATAGAAAATTATGTTTATATTAGCATTGTCATGTTGTTTGTTAGGATTTCCATCACTTGTGAAATATTGTTTTTTCTTACAGCTGAACAGCGGAGAAGTCCACACACTTCTATCATGCAGCGTATGTCAGATATGCTTACACGCTGGTTGGATGGAAACTTACGAAGGACAGAAGGTCAGGAGGAAAGTTTAGAAGGTCAGGCAGAAGATTCCGAGGTAAGAACTGAAGGATCAGGTGTTGGTGAAGAATCAGACCATATCACCCAAGAACATTCTGTAGGGGCGGCAGGCATGTCCCAAGGCACTGGAGACCAAACTTCCCCAGGGGAGGCACCAGAAAGGACTGTCCTTAGTGGTGTATCAGGTATGGAAATCTATCAGATCCTCTGTATAAGTGCTAGAGAGTCAAAGTCACACATTAAGTACATATCACGGTCACAAAATGATAAGTATTAACAGTGTTGTGCTTCCTGTGACTAGTTCTGATGCCATCAGTTATTACCTAGAAATTTCTTGAAATACATCTTTTTTTTAATTATCTCATCATTTAATATGCTATGAAAATATTTATCATCATTTTTAATTGATGATTAAAAACAGTTTTAATTTTCTAATTTTGACATTTGTGTTTTTATGTTATTTTCCGTTTCTCCTTTGTCTGCAGAGACTTTGCCTGATCTTCTGTTTATTTTTAGGTCACTTGGTCACCTTATGCAATCACCTTCATTCGGCGTCATGCGTCCATTAACAATTTATCATTTTCAACCTCTTCTCAAAAACTCCTGAACTGATTTCAGGTGTTACTTTTCTCTGTAGGGAAGGGGTAAAGTTTACTGCAATTTATATAGGAAAAAGAGATTTTTGAGTATAATTTGTTTAATTTCCATTGGAAATATTTCAAACTTGATTTGAATGAAGGATGACAGCTAGATGGTATGAATAGGGGTCAAATTGAATTCACTTAAAGAAAAATCTTCTGAACACCCAGGTATGGTCAAATTGGATGCTCTTCATGGATGTAAGTGTCTTTTATAGAAAAATTTGAATTTTTGAGCATAACATTGATAATTTTCCAGTGGAAATAACTTTGTAAGATTTTTCATTATAGGATGACAGTTTTGATGGTATGCAGGTATTGACACTGGCTTACTATCATCATTTCACAATTTCTTTTTCATGACACTTGAAAGCTGCTTTCCATCTATATTCAATATTGCTTATCTCAGGTGACCATCAAAGCCACTAGGCCTCTTGTTTTTTAATTCATCGTTGAGGGTTTCTTTTAATTCCATTTTTCAGAAACCTCTACAGAAATGGAGGATATGAATTATCATGGTAGATCTGATGTCCAAGAGGGGATATCTCAGGAGCGTGATAATGAGGGACTTTCTCAAAATACAACAACAGATTCACCACTGGCACCTCATTTTGTCGAGAAATCAGTGAAAGACAGTAATTCTCGGCAGGTAGATGTTGTCAATAGCGACAAGAAAGGTCAAAGTTCAACAAGTGCAATATCTGGTGTAGTAGAAGGACTTCAAGCTAGTACATCTAGACAGGGACTTGCTGAGGATTCAATACAGTCTACATCTGAAAGTGTCAGGTCAGTGTCAGGGCAACAGCCTTCAGTTGTGGTTGGTGACCATGGGAATCAGGAGGCACCTCTGTCCCCAGGACAGATGGAGCCTGTTATCAGTTTGCATTACTCATCTGAAGGAACAACCAGCAGCACCATCAGATTAGGCTTTGCCAAGTTTGAAAATCTGGAAGCTGGTCTGCTACAGAGAAGTGCAGAAAATGCTTCCCTGGCTCCTCTTGTGAGGGACACCAGTCAGTTTGATGATGGTCATCCAAGACTGTTGTCCCAGATGAACAATACTGGAGACTTAGAGAATTTCCAGGAACACAGTGATTCAGTTGAAGGGCAAAACAATAGTGTTAGTCCTTCTAGTGGTAATGAAAGGCCTACTCCTTTGGGTCCAAGTGATTCTGGGAGTCACTCAGGTCAGAGTGATTTGACAAGTCCCACAGTACAGAGGGATATTATGGAACATATGGATCCTAGTGACTCTGCCAATCCCAAGTCAAACAGTGACTCTACCAGACAAAGTGATTTGGTCAATTCTAAGGCACAAAGTGCATCAAGCAGTCCAAAGGGACAGTGTGATTCAGGGAGTCCTCTGGGTTCTGGTGACTCAGCCAGTCTGGTTATAGACAGTCCTATATGTGTTAGTGGGGACTTGAATAGTACCAGTGAAAGTGAGGAAACTAGGACTGAACAGGAGAATGTGCAGGATCTTTTGATGGAAACAGAGGACTATGTTACTGATTCTACATCCAGTGGAGTTAGTTCTAGTGACCATTCACTGCCATCCTCAAGTAGAGAGACCAGCTCAAGTGCCAAGCCTGAGTCCTCCTGTACATTCAATGTAGGTCAGAACACAGAAGCTAGTCATACAGACAATAAGGTTTGTGAGGAGGAAGCCATTGTTGGGGAGGGAGGTCATTTGTCTCCTGTTGTAGATACAGCTGTACTATCAGTGGGGACAGAGGACAGGCAAAATTCAGAGGATGAAGGTAAGAAAAGGAAAGAAAAAAAGGATTTGAATTCACAGCAAGAAAAAGCAAGATTTGGAAAGCATGATGTGTTATCAAATGATCTGAAACCTTCCTGTTTAAAGGAATCAAAGCCAGTTGTAGGGGAAATCTCCAAGGATCAATCAGTAACTGGGTCACAACCAGTAACAGTGGAAATTTCCAAGGATCAACCATTAACTGTGTCACAGTCAGTTACAGCGGAAACCTTCAAGGATCAGTCGTTAACTGTGTCACAGTCAGTTACAGCGGAAACCTTCAAGGATCAGCCGTTAACTGGGTCACAACCACTAACAGTGGAAACCTCAAAGAATCAGACAGTAACTGGGTCACAGTCTGTTACAGGAGAAACCTCAAAGAATCAGACAGTAACTGGTACACAGCCAGTTACAGCGGAAACCTCCAAGGATTGGCTGGTAACTGGGTCACAGTCTGTTACAGGAGAAACCTCAAAGAATCAGACAGTAACTGGGTCACAGCGAGTGACAGCGGAAACCTCCGAGGATCAGTCAGTAACTGGTAAACAGCCTGTTACATCGGAAAGTTCCAAGGATCAGCTGGTAACTGTGTCACAACCAGTTACAGGAGAAACCTCACAGCCAATTACAGCGAAGTCTGCAGGGCCACAGCAGTCAACGGCACAAGTGTCACAAGATGTGGAGGAGAGTTGTGAGGGGGCTACTGGACAGGCAGTCACTGGCCGAGGTAAATCCTGAAGTTGTAGTCATAGTAATCATTGTTTTGTAGCATTCACTGCGGTAGAAAAAGTTCTGTATCAAGAATTTAATTTGCTCTGTATGATAGGTATTTTGCAATAGGAGAGATTAATCACCTTAAGTCTACTTTGACTGTTGACTTTAATAGGAATTGTGACTTAATTAACTTTGATTTACAGAAACTGAGAGCTCACACGGAGCTCTCACTTCAAGCACACCTAGAGAAGCCACAACTACCACCCGTCAGCGAAGAATAGGCCGCAGTGGACCTCCTACAGGAAACTTCCAGTTATCAACTGATGAAGACAGCAGTGATGATGATACAACTACACCACGCAGGAGGAGGTAACTCTCATTTTTAGGTAATCTCGACCCGAACCTATAGCCATCGTGTTTCGTCCGTCGTCATCCGCCGTGCGTCGTCCGTAAACTTTTCATTCAAAAAACTTCTTCTCAAATACTAGAAGGCCTAGGGGGCTAATACTTGGCTCATAGCATGCTGGCATGGAGCCCTACAAAGTTGTTGAAATTAATGACCTTGACCCACTTTCAAGGTCACAGGGTTCAAATATGTTAAAATATACAAACAACTTCTTCTCAATAAGCAAAAGTCCATGAGTGCTGATATTGGGCCTGTAGGATGCTTGGAGGAAAGGCTACCAAGTTTGTTCAAATAAATGACCTCGACCATCTTTCAAGGTCACAGGGGTCAAATATGTTGAAATTTTTAAACAACTTCTTCTCAGTAACCAAAAGGCTCAGAATGCTGATATTGAGTCTGTAGCATGCGGGGATGAAGGGCTACTAAGTTTGTTCAAATGAATGACCTTGACCCACTTTCAAGGTCACAGGGGTCAAATATATGAAAATATACAAACAACTTTTTCTCAATAAGCAAAAGTCCAAGAGTGCTGATAATGGACCTGTAGGATGCATGGATGACATGCTACCAAGTTTGTTCAAATGAATGACCTCGACCCACTTTCTAGGTCACAGGGGTCAAATATGTTAAAATATAAAAACAACTTCTCTTCAATAAGCAAAAGTCCAAGAGTGCTGATAATTGATAATTGACCAAATTTGTAGAATGACCTTGACCCACTTTCAAGGTCACAGGGGTTAAATATGTTAAAATATGCAAATGACTTCTCAATAACCAAAATGATTAGAGTGCTGATATTGGGCCTGTAGGATGCTTTGAGGAAGTGTTACCAAATGTGTTCAAGTGAATGACCTTTACCCACTTTCAAGGTCACAGGGGTTAAATATGTTAAAATCTGTAAACGACTTCTCAGTAACCAAAAGGCTCAGAGTGCTGATATTGGGCCTGTAGGAGGAAGGGCTCCCAAGTTTATTCAAATGAATAAAGCCCACTGTTTTAACGGCAGACTCACTGTTGTTAGAGTTTGGCTTGCTTTTTGTCAGATGACCATTAAGGCCCATGGGCCTCTTGTTTACATGTTATGCTGATTTTCCCATACACCAACCTTTATTTGTAGATTTCTCATTTCATTTAAAAGAGCAGTGGACTTAATGAAATTAGTTAAATTAAATTTTCATACGTCTTCAGAGAAAATAGGGACACACTGGAGCGCCATATTACTGCTATCAGACTGCAGGAGCTGTATCGTAAACGTCAAGAGGAGCGAGAGAAGGAGGAAATGGAACTAAGAAACATACACCAACCGACCTTTACTTCAAAGTTCCGAGGTCACAGGAATGCCCGCACAATGGTAAGGCAATAAGATTCTTGTAGTAATCACATTTAATTGACATCAAGATATTAGGTGGATATTTTTGGCTTTTGGCTTTTTCCTTTAAATTAGTAACATTATTGATCAGTAACAGTTATACCCATGGTGCTATAGAATGTGTATTTTATCATTACATTTCCGAGTCAGCATGTATTAAGTAGATTTTGTATCAAGGAGGCCAAAGTTTAGAGAAATCAGTTTTATTGAGCAAGTTTTGTACAGACAGATCGAGGAGCCCAACAAATGGAAGAATCAGTTTGTGATAAGTGAGTTTTGTACCAACAGATCAAGGAGGCCAACAAATGGGAGAATCAGTTTGTGATGTGTTAGTTTTGTACCAACAGATCAAGGAGGCCAACTTTTGGGGAAGTCAGTTTGTGATGAGTGGATCTGATTGTGGTCACATCTTTATCTGGGACCGCTATACATCCAAGCTTGTCATGTTACTGGAGGGTGACCGCCATGTTGTCAACTGTCTGCAACCTCATCCCTTTGATCCAAGTAAGTACATTGTATAATATACTAGATTGTAGATAGAAGTCAGAAATCTGTTAGATAAAGAAGTCAGAAATCTGTTAGATAGAGGTCAGAAATCTGTTAGGAAGCAGATAGAAGTCAGAAATTTGTTGTTTAGTATAAGTCAGACATCCCTGAAGTAAAAGATAGAAGTCAGAAATATTCATGAAGTTAACAGAAGACTGTTAAATGTCAGATTTTATGTTAGAAAACCCTTCTTTCTGAGATCATTATCAACTGGTTCAGTGATGAAGGGAAGCAATATATTTACATTGTTTTGTGATTTAGTCCTCGCCACAAGTGGAATTGACTATGATGTCAAGATTTGGTCACCAATGGAGGAGAAAAGCTGCTTTGATGAGGAGAAAGCTAATGAGGTAATGATAGTTTAATGCGACATTCATAAATCCTGGCAGGCATGTAGAAATCAAGACTTAACAAAACGGATCTCTAGTTTCTCCTCCATCATAGAAGAACAATTCTGATCTGACCAGTGTTAAAACCACAATAATTATTAGTTCTTCACTAGAAATACAATCTTCATCCATCAGAGCATCCTTCATTAAGATATTCAGTATAGGTATTACACACTCTTGTTGTCTGCCTTTACTGCAGTTATGACCCCTTATTTACTTGATACTGCAATTGTATATTAGTCAGCTTTACTATGTCTCTTTATTCTCTTGATAGAAATAGTAGGAATGTGCATGTTGTTTGTAATATAAATAGGAGGACACTATGGTTGCATATTCCTGTGTGTTACAGATCATGAGAAGAAATGAAGTTATGCTGGAGGAGACCCGCGACACCATTACAGTGCCTGCTGCCTTCATGTTACGTGTGCTAGCCTCGCTCAACCAAATTCGATCAGGTAATTCTAACTTTTATTTATGCTCTAGTTTGCTTCAGTGTGAGTCATAGTCATCATAAAATGTTGTGTTTTTGTTTTTCCAGGACGTTCAGCCACTGTTGAGAACCCTGTGGAACAGGACTCCTCCTCGGACACAGACTGAGTATTATAACAAGACGTTGGAAATTCCTCAATGTTTTATCCTATTTATCGACTGTCAACTGTTTTAACTTCTGAATACATTAACAATGAAATCCACTCATGACAAGTCTAGTTCCAAATCTTTCCTGTATTTCATCCATGAGATAGTGACGTTCTGGGAAATTTCATAAAATATTGTTTCAGCAAGGTATACAGGTATATAGATAGGGATGCAAAAGGAAATTTACTTCCAATGATCATTTAGTAACTTGCTTTCGTAGAGGCAATCATGTAACACATTGATTTTGTCAAAGACAGTAAGAATAGTGAACCGGACAGTAGGAAAAGATCCAGAGATTACGATGAAGGATTTACTGAGCTAGCCTAACACAAGCTTACTGGTACATGTTTTACTATATAGTGCTGTTTGTACTCTTCTTGATATTGGGAACCAATTTATGGTTATTTTGACACAAAATACAGTTCTGTGTTATCCGATAGGACATTGATTGTAGATTTTAAGAATCTGTTGCAGTATGGCTTAGTTCGCACGTGATTGGGAGTCGTCAGATGCTGAGTTAACATTCAATTTATATGGCTGATGGATATCATTTATATGTATATGGTCAATTTAAACAATTATGCACTTGTATTCACTCAGTGAATAGGTGAGAAAAACTACTGACTTGGCACATAGTGACAGTCAATAGATCAGTTTTTCCTTCTTACCATATACATGTATGACTTTATCTTGGTATGTTATTAAATTTTAACAGTTTTCTGTTGTTACACTTTTTATTTTTAATGTTCACTTGACTACCATAGTTTTGATATTACAGATTTTGTTGTTGACAACAGTGCTCTTAGAGATAGGTAACAACAAGCCCACCTCACCTGGTTTAGATTTCTGAAATTTAATTAAATTTAAACTAAGGGAAAAGTGTTTAAAACACTTGTATTTATTTCCTTCGTTAGGCCTCACCCCTCCTCCCTAAAGGAGACATTATCCAGTTATTCCTACAGATGAAAGATTTTAAAGAATTAGCTCCAATGGGCCCATCCTTCCTGATTCAGGCAACAGAAACTTCACAACTGATTCCTCTTCACCAAAGGATGCTTTAGACCAAATCTGGGCAAAATCAAAACATTCCTACATGATGAGGTGGATTTCAAAGAAGGGGCCAAACCCCATCATTAATAAAGGAAGAGGCCCAGAGGGCCTGTATCGCTTACCTGGATCTTATAACCAAGCAATGGTATACATTTCTATTTAGGTTGAAGCTCAGTCACTTTACCTCATCAATAGGGCAAAACCAATGGGTAAATTCTTATATCATGATTGTCTTTCTCATTTGATGCCCAGTAAGACTTAATTGACTACTGGGTTGGTATCTCAATGATGTCAAAATTATGACCAAAAAAAAGTTCCAAGAGGTGTGCTACGCCCAAGGGTCAATTCTTACATAATGAATGTGTTCATTTCTTGATGCCGTACAATTCTATATATATATATGGTTGTAGGCTGGGGACTTCAACTATTTCAAAGATATAACCCAGAAACTATGTATCTAGGGATGGAATACACCACAGGACCAAATTTCACATCATGATTGAGTTTATATCTCGATGCCTAGCAATGCTACATATGGTTATAGCATGGGGATTTCAAGTTTCAAAGGTGTAACCTAGAAATTAAGTCAGGAAGGGTGTAGTCACTATCAAGGACTGTCCAATTCTTCCCTCATGAATATGTTTATCTCTTGATGCCCGTCATTGATATATATGGTTATGGGGTGGCCAGATCTCAACTGCTTCAAAGATAGAACACATTTCTCCTATTGAGCCCCTTTATAAAATAGTGGGTCAAGGTCATTAAATTGAACAATTCTAGTGGACCTTTCTCCTTTAAGCTAAAGGCCCAATATTTTTACCCTTAGAAGAAGTTGTTTGAATAATTTCACATATTTGACTCCTTTTAACTTGAAAGTCTTGATAACCATAATGGTCATCTGACTACAACAACTTTCCGCAGGGAGAAGTGTATTTTTTTCTACGTTAAATGAAATCTTACTAAGAAGCTGTTTCCCATAATGCAGATGGTAGTTTTGGTGAGGAGTAGGTAACTGTAACAAGTGTTACCTATTTTTGAAAGTAAGTTGGAGCTCAATCCAACTGGTGAAATTTGAGAAATTTGAGGAAAAACATGATTGCACAATCATGTTATAAAATGGCATCCCTGGCTGCCATGTCACAGTTTTGACAAGATTGAAAAATACCAACAATATGCTGGCAACCTTTCATTCCCATCAATTTTTAGCTCATGGCACCATTGGAACTAGAGAAGTTTCAAATAAATTTTTGGCAAGATGGCGACCATGACAGCCATCGATGATTTCAAACATACCCGAACAATAAGAACCCTTGGTCAGGACCATCTCCAGATCATTTCATGCAAGTATGAGCTCAATACTACTGGTGGAACTTCAGAAGTTTCAAGGTTCAACAGACATAGCTTCATTACACGTAAATGTCTTCCATAGCAGAAACCATAAAAAAGGGCATATTACACTACAAGACAGATATGCTTTTTAGCCCACCATCATCAAATGGTAGGCTTTTCATACCGCTCTGTGTCCGCGGCCTGTCTGTCTGTAAACAATTTCTGTAATCGCTATTTCTTGAGAAGTACTGGATGGATCTATCTTCACACATAGGCTCCCCTTGGTCCCTAGTTGTGCCCATTTGATTTTGGGTTTGATTTTAAAAAAAAAAAGGCTTCCAGGCGGCCATTTTGAATTTGGCAGGTAAAGATTATCATTTCTGCAAAAGAATGTTCAAATGTTCAAAAGAAAAGAAGGGAATGATCTAACTTACAAAGATCAAATAAAGATCAAACAATGGTAGGCAGCAAGATCCCTCTGGGATCTCTGGTTTCTTTAGATGTGGTCTAGAAACAGTAAGAAAATGGACATTGATCCAATTGTTGTTAGCATCACAAGTCATTTAAGAAACTGAATTTGGATTGATACATGGGACCCATTTGCATATATTGCTTGTTAACTGGTGAGAGATCATGTGACCTTCTTTCCCACTAGTTTGATTGTAGGGATTTTAAAAAACAACAAAACATGATGTGGCAAGATATTAATCTTTATGTAGAAATATACAGTTATATATACGCTGGAATGTTACAAATTATTTATATAATGAAAGTGGTATCACAATATAGTGATGTGACAGATGCCTAACAGTGTACACAGATAATTTGGCGGTTCACTATAGTACAGAGTCTCTCCTGTTTATTACGTATGTAGCATTTTCGCCGACATGTATCCAAACCTTATGAAATAGGATTATTTTAAGGGATTCTTTTCATGTTAGAGACAGGGTTTTGTGTTGAATGTCCCATTTTGAAATTAACTAAGGACACTTTTTCATTTTTGAAGACAAATTCCAATGAGTGACCATGAGAAATCTGTCCCATTGTGATTTCCAATAGAAAGGCTAGAAGTTTATAGAAACAGACTCACAGAACAAACACCATCAATAGTTATAGTATGTGTCCTGTACCCTCAGTGGTAGCAATAAGGGCCCTGCACCTTCAGTAGTACTAATGTGTGCCCTGTACCCTCAGTGGTACTAATGTGTGCCCTGTACCCTCAGTGGTACTAATGTGTGCCCTGTACCCTCAGTGGTACTAATGTGTGCCCTGTACCCTCAGTGGTACTAATGTGTGCCCTGTACCTTCAGTGGTACTAATATATGCCTGCACCATCATGTACTTTATGTGTGCCCTGCACCAGCAGTAATACTGTGTTCAAAACAGCAGGCAAAAATAGTAGCAACAATAGCAGGAACCAAAGTTAGCGTGGCACAGGTATCGAACGCCGAATAAATTTGTTACAACAAATATTTACCTCATCAGAAAATCTTAAAGAGTTATATGTAGACCAAGTAACAAGATTGAATAAGTAGATAGTTTGCTAAATTTTAGAGGAAGTTTTCTTACTGAAGCTGTGACCCAAGCAGTTAAGTGCTAGAGTTGATTCTTGTACATGTCATAGCTCACTAAACACTGTTCTTCACAGGCAAATCCAAAAAATACTGCATATTGCAGTCTAATTCATATTTTTTGCTTTAAAAATACATGGTGGTGCATCCTTATTTTGTACAGTAAAAAAAACAAACATGGTGGTACTTCCTTATATCGTACAGTGAAAAAAAAACAAACATAGTGGTGCATTCTTATTTTGTACAGTAATAAAACCCACCTCAACATTTACATGCCTTTCAGGCGAATGTCTACAGGTACAACATACAGTCTATGACTCTTCATTGATTTGATCGTATTGTGTAACACCAGATTAACATATGTCTCATGCAAGTATTTCTATAAGCAAGAAATTTGTATTCTCAGGCATTTCTTTTGAAAGAAATGATGGGAGTTGTTTTACTGGTAAGGTAAGGTAACGTGAACTGTTAACTAAATTCCTGCATTCCAATGAAATGCAGACCTGGTGCCAACATCAGGATCCACAGAAATATAAACTCTACTAGAAACATTTCATACAGACATAGATATATAGGTGGAATTTTAACATGTGCAAAAATATGGCAGTACAATTGATATGTAACCAGAAATACTACCTAATACGGTAAAAAAAAATAATAATAACTTTGTAGGTACTAAATATTAAAAAAAGATTCTGCCAGCAAATTAGTAAAAGGTATAATAAATATGATACATATGCTTTTTTTACACAAAGTAATACTACAAGTTTTCTGTGGTGTTCCACCATTTTCTGGACTATAACTTTTAACATACAGTGAGTACAAGATGTAACACGGCTGGAAGTTCCAGTGATATAAACATTCATGCTATCTAAATTAGTCACTTCAATAATTACCACAAGTTACTGAGAAAGTCATGCTGGTGAGAAGCCAACACGGGCTGACAACAGATACTCTTATACGGCTTCCCAAATGTGTATTTGCATGGTCTGTGTATTTTTAATTCAAAGGAAAATACATGCTTGTTATAAATCCTACTCTGACAATTACTGCTATCAAAACACAAGACTGCTTTACACTTTTTCTCTTCAGCAGCACAAAAATGTCAATTTGAGAAATTCTTGACACAAGTTCCATAATATCATTGAATCCAATATCACACCCTTTAGATTTAAACAGCCAACTGCAGTATAATAGTATACCAAAAACAAATCCCAAGTCCCTCCATTATTCACCATCCAAACATTTTCAGATCTTATTATTTACATCAGTACAGAACCAGGATTAATTTATCAGATCATAAGAGCTCTCTATCGATGAACATACCCATCCACCCTCACACACACATACACCCATCCTTACACCTAGCCACCCTCACACACAACCACCCTCCTACACCTAGCCACCCTCACACACACATCCATCCTTACACCTAGCCACCCTAACACACACACACCCATCCTTATGTTTAGCCACCCTTACACACACACCCATCCTTACACCTAGCCACCCTCACACACTCACACCCACACACACACACCCTTCCTATCACCTAGCCACCTTAACATGCACACACGCACACACACACACACTCGCACGCACCTAGCCACCCCCTCACACACAAACATAGCCTATCCACCTGTACAATAGAAATATGACATTGTTTACTGGTACAATAAGATAAATAGATGCTTGGCCATGATAATCTCAATATCTCCCGTATACTTACACATCACTAAAGTCTATCTATGAAGTTTATACACAATTATATACATTTAACTATAGAGCGATATTGTATTAATAATTGCATTTAATATATCTACCTCCAAAGTATTTCTTTCCAATATTTTCTCAGTTTAGTTAGAGGTGAATACCAATTAAATACACTCACAAGTATGTGTGTTACATCACAAAGTTGGATGTCACATAACAAGTTTGGATGTCATATAACAAGTTTGTGCGCCACATCACCAGTTTTTGTGTTACGGCACAAGTTTGTGTGTCGCATCACAAGGATGTGTGTTCCAATACAAGTTGTGTGCCACATCACCAGTTTTTGTGTTACAACACAAGTTTGTGTGTTGCATCACACGTATGAGTGTTGTATAAAACTATGTATCACAATCCAATCAATGCTATTCATACCTTCAATATACTGGTATATCTGCAGCGTATCACAACACTATTTGTAGTATGTTAATACTTGGAAATAAGGAGCATAAATACCACTGATAATGCATGATTATCTCAGGTGGAAACAATGCTTACAAAGTCCAGAAAATTTCCTTTATTTAAAACTTCTGAGCTAAAAAGTCGGTAGCTATGTACAGCTAACCTAACATCAGTGGCTACAATGATAGAACTAATGAAGAACATACACAGTTAAATGAAAGCAGTAATATATAGGATATCAATTTATGATACAAAATATTTCATAACTTTTGATGTTTTATAAATGTATATAAACTAGAAGCTACTTACAGAACTTGATATTAGGAATGTATGTTGAAAAAGCTCACTCTAGCTCCACTAGCAATTAAGGCATTGTCCTAGAAAGGAAAATGCCTCCAAACCAAGACAGAGATTAACTCGAGAAATCAGTCCCTAATGTTATATATCAACACAAAGTATTATGAGTTTTTGATTTTGAGATTTGATTTAGTTTTATCTGATTTCCAAAGTTACAACTTTCATGTAGTATGAACAAAGTTTGAAACAGATCTGGGTGATTTGTTAGTGGTGTACATAAGTGTCATTTGTCAAAAGTAAAGCAGAGTTCACTGATATCAACTATCTTTCATGTTCGTATAATAACAACGATTAACCTGACAGTCTGTCTTAAAGGCCTGTTATTAGGGCACCTAGGACACTTTATACATGATTAACAGAACCAATAATAATATCATATATATATTTCTGTATTAAACTGTCTTTTTTATGATATTCTATAACATACAGCAATGCAGCCTTCTTGGCAACTACCAGTCTGCCTGGAAAGTCATGTGATAATGACAAGAAATGTTAGATTTCAATTCCAATTCTACACTAGTCTCAGTCACTGGCTAACAGTAGTCCCACGGTAACCAGTTCATGTAGTTCAATGTATCAGTTGCAAATCGACAGAAACCTATCACCCCAAAGAAACCAGTTCCTGTGTCTAATGAGTCAGTCATCAATTGACAGTAACCTACGGCCCTGAGGTAACCAGTTCCTGTATCTAATGAGTCAGTCATCAATTGACAGTAACCTACGGCCCTGAGGTAACCAGTTCCTGTATCTAATGAGTCAGTCATCAATTGACAGTAACCTACTGCCCTGAGGTAACCAGTTCCTGTATCTAATGAGTCAGTCATCAATTGACAGTAACCTACTGCCCTGAGGTAACCAGTTCCTGTGTGTAATGAGTCAGTCATCAATTGACAGTAACCTACGGCCCTGAGGTAACCAGTTCCTGTATCTAATGAGTCAGTCATCAATTGACAGTAACCTACTGCCCTGAGGTAACCGATTCCTGTGGTTTTGTGCTTCAGTACAACATCAACATTTCTACCTACATACTCAACAGTAACATTTTAAACCCCTTTGTTTCAGCACTTTCTCTTACAACCTCATCTAAATAGATCTGATTGTTGCCCATGTCTTATCACCATACTTACACGTATACCCTCACAACTTCTCTCACATACATGTGGGTGAGAGCTGCTCACTTTACAGTTCTAGATGAGAATTCAACATTTCTATATATGTTTTACACACAAACTCACTGTCTCATCAGATGCAGTTCATTACTGCTGCACCAACAATAGAAATTCAGCAACATAACAGCCTTACATATCGTGTACAAAATTCAATTTCAGAGACCGGGTCAGACTTGTGTAAGACCATGTATAGCACTGTGATCAACCCGCACACCTTGCATGCTCCTGAGAAAGTAAATAGAACACAGGCTAAAATCACACGTGTGACTCGGTGAGAAGTTTGCGGATTCGTTCAATCTCCACTTGTGTGTTTAATCGGATTTTCTTCTCCTCGTCCACTTCTGCCATCAAGTCTTTTATTTGTCGTGACTGTTTACTTCGGATGTGCTCAAATTCCATTCGTAACTTTTCATTTTCACTACGCAAGTCCTCCATAGCTGATTTAGATACACATGTTGCTCGTAACTCTCGTATTTCCTTCTTGAGTTCTTCTATGGCAGACAGTAGCATAGCATTGCCTGAAAACAGGTGTTTATAAGTATCAACATGAAACACAGAAGTGAATTAGTTATAATTACTCTTGATACCCACTTTAACTTCAGGCTATTTAGATGAATGACATTTTAGCCTTGCTTCAGAAAAATTCTATGATTTCTTGAGATAGACAAAAGAAAATTGAGATCAAGTGAATATTAAGCATCACAAACCTGGGTTGGGCTCTGGTGGTCTAGCAGGGGCATGCTGGGGCTTGGCAGGTGGAGACTGGAAAATAAAACATGATGTAGCATACCTGTCCTTCAGCTCTAAAAGATATGTAGCCATCAGCTATCTTCATTTCTGATCACTTTAGAATTAAGCTACAATTAACTAACATCTCGTGTAAATGTTTGAAGATAGTGTACATTTAATGGTGGTGAATTTATTATATCACCTATGTCTAATTATCTGATTTAAATTATCATGAACTACAAAATGTTTTACCTCCTCCTTACTGTGTGTGGATACGGGACGTTTTGGGGGCTCCTTCACTTCCTTTATCGACGGTATATCACCATTTACATTTGAGTCATCCTATAAATAAATATATACCTTTATGTACACTTACACGAGGGTTATAGTAATCTCACATACACATGGGTTATAGTAATCTCACCTACACAGGAGTATAGTATTCTCACCTACACAGGAGTATAGTAATCTCACAGGGGTATAGTAATCTCAAATACACAGGAATAGTAATCTCACCTACACAGGGGTATAGTAATCTCACCTACACGGGTATAGTAATCTCACCTACACAGGAGTATAGTAATCTCACCTACACGGGTATAGTAATCTCACCTACACAGGGGTAAAGTGATCTCACCTACACAGGGGTATAGTAATCTCACTTACACAGGAGTATAGTAATCTCACCTTGACAGGGGTATAGTAATCTCACTTACACAGGAGTATAGTAATCTCACCTACACAGGGGTATAGTAATCTCACCTACACAGGGGTATAGTAATCTCACCTACATCGGTGTATAGTAGTCTCACCTACACAGGGGTAGAGTAATCTCACATACACAGGAGTATAGTAATCTCACCTATACAGGGGTATAGTAATCTCACCTTTACAAGGGTACAGTAATCTCAGCTACACAAGGGTAGAGTAATCTCACCTCAGGGGTAGAGTAATCTCACCTACACTGGGGTATAGTAATCTCACCTACACCGGTATAATAATCTCACCTACACAAGGGTATAGTAATCTCACCTACACAGGAGTATAGTAATCTCACCTATACAAGGGTACAGTAATCTCACCTACACAAGGGTATAGTAATCTCCCAGGGGTATAGTAATCTCACCTACAAAGGGGTATAGTAATCTCACCTACATCGGTGTATAGTAGTCTCACCTACACAGGGGTAGAGTAATCTCACATACACAGGAGTATAGTAATCTCACCTATACAGGGGTATAGTAATCTCACCTACACTGGGGTATAGTAATCTCACCTTTACAAGGGTACAGTAATCTCAGCTACACAAGGGTATAGTAATCTCACCTACACAAGGGTAGAGTAATCTCACCTCAGGGGTAGAGTAATCTCACCTCAGGGGTAGAGTAATCTCACCTACACTGGGGTATAGTAATCTCACCTACACGGGTATAATAATCTCACCTACACAAGGGTATAGTAATCTCACCTACACAGGAGTATAGTAATCTCACCTATACAAGGGTACAGTAATCTCACCTACACAAGGGTATAGTAATCTCCCAGGGGTATAGTAATCTCACCTACAAAGGGGTATAGTAATCTCACCTACACACGGGTACAGTAATCTCACCTATACAGGGGTATAGTAATCTCACATACACAGGAATAGTAATCTCACCTACACAGGGGTATAGTAATCTCACCTACACAGGAGTATAGTAATCTCACCTACACAAGGGTACAGTAATCTCACTTACACAGGGGTACAGTAATCTCACCTACACAGGGGTATAGTAATTTCACAGGGGTATTGTTATCTCACCTATACAGGGGTATAGTAATCTCACAGGGGTACAGTAATCTCACCTACACAGGGGTATAGTAATCTCACAGGGGTACAGTAATCTCACCTACACAGGGGTATAGTAATCTCACAGGGGTACAGTAATCTCACCTACACAGGGGTATAGTAATAAGTTACTAATAATAATAGTAAATAGTTATTTCAAAGAATGTTTCTAGATCATCTACATCTATTCTATTCAACTATAAACAAGAGGCACACAGGCCTTAACAGTCATCTGACTATAAAAACCTATATATAAAAGGGGACAAATAGGCTTAAAATAAATTGCTCAATTACTTTACAGCTTACAAAGGAGACATTATTGGTTCATAAACACATTTTCTTCAAACCCGAAATCATATTCTTCATACATACTACTACACAAATGCCATTACTGTGAACCAATTACTGGCTGAAAAATATATTTAAAGATTTTAACTCAATTAACCCAAGAAATCTTGAATATATGTCAAGGTCAATTATTTGAACAAATCAGTTGCCTATCATCCACTTATATTAAAGAACCAATATCAACAGCTTGGACATTTTTGAAAAGAAACTTTTAACACATTTGATCCCTGTGACCTTAAGTCAATCAAATGAACAAAATTGGTAGCCCTTCATCCCAGCATGCTACGGGTTGATTATCAGGGCCTTTTGGTTATTGTGAAAAAGTTGTTTAAATATTTCAACACATTTGACCCTTGAGACCTTGAAAGGGGGTCAAGGTTAATCATATTAAGAAACTTGGTAGCCCTCTAACCCAGCATCATACAGGCCCAATATCAGCACCCTAGGCCTTTTTGTTATTGAGAAGAAGTTGTTTGAAGATTTCATTAGATTGATCTCTGTGACCTTGAAAGTTGGTCAAAGTCATTCATTTTGACAAAGTTGGTAGCCCTTCATCCATGCATGCTACAGGCCTAATATCAGCACTATGGGCCCTTTGGTAATTGAGAAGAAGTCATTTGAATGGAAAGTTAACGGACAGCAGACAGCGCAGGACAACAGATGAAACACATAGGCTAATGAAAGAAAAGATATATTTTGTTAATATACATATGTGCTATGCTGGACACTCCTCTCATTCTGACCTAGATTCTGTTCTACATTCATAGTTTAATTGATAAAGCACCTGTTGAATGTAACATTGCTAAATAACTGCTGGTATATACAAGTTTATACACTAATATTTACTCCATACATTCTGTTACTATTTCCTCATAAGAGAATTTGAGAATGAGAAGAGTTTGATCAGAAATGTCCCAAGACATCAGAATTCTTATAAACAAACATAAGGTGTGTCTGTAAGTCTCTGGTATGGGGTTAGTTTTGAGAAAATAAAAGATCTGAAAATAGACTCTAGGGTTAGTTTTGAGGAAATAAAAGATTTGAGATTAGACTGTAGTTAATGGTTAGTTTTGAGGAAATAAAAGATTTGAGATTAGACTAGGTTTGGTTGAGTTTTGATAAAACAGCAGGACTGCAATTAACAATTGGAGGAAATGAAGATGTAAAGATTAGATTATTGAAAGGAAGCGATGTCAATAACAAATTTGACATATGATACTGGTACAGTTTAGACAGAAAGCATTGTTTAATCTCGACTATAACCCCTTTAGAACAATATTTACACAATTTCCTTCTGACAATTCTATCACTACATCGGCTCCATTGTGATTAACCTGTCAATCTGGTCTCTATAAACACCAGTTGTAAGACTGTTAACACATATACAATACTTTGTAATTTGATCTCACAATTAATCTGGCACTATTTCTTTATCATGTCATACCCATAGAGGTGGTCCATTGGAAGCAGTATAGTACCATCAAGCATTGAAGTAGAATTAAAGGTTGCTTACTTTGTAATCTCAGAAGTACTGTAAATTGGAAATATTTTTGTATGGTGTTATTTTTGCAGAATAATTTAAATTTTGTATGTCTAATTTTTGCTGGTCATGAAGTCTGTGTGGATTTTCAGAAAACAATCATATCAAATATTTAATTTTTGCTTTCAGGTATTTCTATCGGGTGAAATCATATCTTTTCCTGTCTAATGTGAAATATGTTGAAAATATATATATTGAAAATTCAACACTTTTTCAAATTAATTTATAATTGCAGTCTTCGTTTGTACATAGTCTTCCAGAATTCCCTCAACCATTCCAGAGTCAAAGACATGTACGTTTTTTTTCAAATATTTCCAAAAGGACATTATTTTAAGGTAATAACCAACTCTACATGTGAAATGTACTGGCCACAGTTTAAAACACAAAAATATTAGATTTGCATAGGTTAAGGGTGTGAGACCTAGTTATCAAGGTGTAAAATGGACAACAGGACCAGATAGTGTTTACAGTGAAGTTTAAGTGTAGTTAGCAAAATTAGCAGAAAAATTAAGCTGCAACTAAAATTTCCCAATTTACAGTAGTATGGTACTATCTGGTAAGGAAGTGCCATACCCACAAAGAAAGTATGAAGGCAGTAGCACCAAGCATTGAAGCAGAATGAAGGCCAACTCACTGTACTGGATGGACACAACTTTTGGTACAAACATTTTCCTAAAAATTTTTTTAAGGACTTTTGATGAACAACCAATAAAAGGAGAAAGTGGAAATAAATTCTTTGTTTATTTATTGCCATTTCAAATAACATAGAACTACTACTTTTGCGTTCTATCGTAGCTCTGCTTTGTTCAACCATAATAAACTTCAGGGAAACTGATATCTTCAACCTTATTTATACACTTCTTTTTAGTTGAAATTTGGATGAGTCGAAAATGTTTTCCTCTGTTCCTTGAATTTCGAGAGAGACTTAATTCTATATAAAGTAAGACATTCCAGCCAGCCAGATTTAATTCTATATATAGTAAGACATTCCAGCCAGCCAGATTTAATTCTATATATAGTAAGACATTCCAGCCAGCCTCTATATATAGTAAGACATTCCAGCCAGCCAGATTTAATTCTATATATAGTAAGACATTCCAGCCAGCCAGATTTAATTCTATATATAGTAAGACATTCCAGCCAGCCAGAATTAATTCTATATATAGTAAGACATTCCAGCCAGCCAGAATTAATTCTATATAAAGTAAGACATTCCAGCCAGCCAGATTTAATTCTATATATAGTAAGACATTCCAGCCAGCCAGAATTAATTCTATATATAGTAAGACATTCAAGCCAGCCAGATTTAATTTTATATATAGTATCACATTACAATCAGACCAGATTATATAAATGTCTACAAGTTTTGCCTATCATATATTTTTATGTATACTCATTAAAGTCTAAAAGTTTGAACTGTAATGTTTTTATTTCTGTTTATTAAAGTCAAAGAGTAACATATATCTTTATTTATCAATCTGAAGGTAGTAAATGTGTATAACATATTTCAATTAACTTGTTTAGAATGACAAAAGGACAAGTTGTTTGTGCCAGGTAGTTAGTCTAATGATATATCCAGTATAGTGTAGTTGGCAGAATGACGTTTGTATAAGACACTTAGCCTAGCAACCAAAACATATTAGCAATACCTGCTGAACAACACGCATTTGGTTTTTATGCTTCTGCAACCAAAGAAAAATACAGTCATGCACTACATATTACACAACGCAAACCATCAATGTTTAAGGGTTCTCAGGTCTGGAGTTATCTACCCATGAACTTGTACTGCACTTCACTGAATCTTAAATCAACGAAGACTTTTTTTTCTGCTAAGCAATTTGAGTAAGTACAGTAATAGTTGATTTGGAACCTCAATAGATTTCTGTTGTCTTCAAATAGCAATGTTTACTTATTTTGTCTATAAACAGATTGAGTTTAGAATTCAGTAAATGTCTCAGATTTATATGATGTATGGTTTTAGATTTATACTCTGTAAATTTGTCATTTATAAGAGGATAAAACATTAAGTGCTTGTGCTGGTAATCAATTCCAGGTCACAAAATTGCACATTCTTTCTTTTGTTTTGTTTTGATGAAAACAATGTAACAACACATTTAATATTGAAAGACTAGACTACTGAAGAAATGAGCACCCTTAAAGCAATAAATCAACAGTAAGTCTACTACATAGTAACACTGATAACAACAAATTATTCACATAATTTGGCAAATTTCAGAAAAATTAACAATTTTTGATGTTTTAATTAATGCCACATGACAGCATTAGGTCATGTGGACATATACTACAACACATTCTGATACACATAACAATATCAATCAATCTAGGACCTCAATTCTCAAATCTACTCTTCAGTCTCATCGTGTAAAAACCTTTGCTATCTTTAAACAAAATTTGATGTCAAAGTGAAAATGATGGAGTTATATGTGCCTTAACATATCTATTTTTGTTTTTATAGGGAATGTGAAGGGAATCAAAACCTGCTTAATTATATTGCACCATGTCACCTATGTCTCCTGGAGTGGATCTCTTTGCTTGATGACCCATTTCCTGTTACTTCTACTTTCATTTTGTGATTGTTTTTATTTATTATAATCTGAGTTGTCAGATTTCACAAGATCTGGCCAGATTTGGCTTAATTAAGTAATTACAGTATATCTGAACATAGTAATTTTAAAAACCTCACAACATGCTCTCACTAGTTTCTTTTCTGCATGAGGAAAGAGAAAATTATGTTTAATATTTAACAAAGAAGTACTCTAAATCCAAATATTTCATACACGAGATGATGTTGTCAAAAAGTGCTTGTTGATGTTCAATGATTTTTTTCCCAAAAACTGAAGTGAAAATGTTGATATGGAATGTTGATCCCTAGTTGGATACCGAAATTCTAAAAAATACATTCACTGTCTCTTCTAGTCTCTAAAAAACATGATCTGGTATCTTTTAAAACTATTACAATATGAAAAGCAAGTCATGATGTTAATGAAAGAGCTTGACAAATTTTTTTTTATATATTAAATTGTTTCTAAAAGTCTGTGCTTAATTGATATCAAACTTCAAGAAATCAGGACTACTATGAAAGCCAAATGGTCACAGAAAAAACATTGTTTTCATTACAGTATATTTAAAAACAAATAATATATTTCTCAGCTAACAGATTTAAAAAATCTGATTTATTCATGCTAAATAGCCAGTACATCCAAAACAACCTCTTCTAACTATATTAGGTGTGTGAGTGTATAATACGTGTCCCCTTCGGTTAGAAAGCAGAGTGCATGTAAACACAACAGAAGTATATTAGTGTGGAGTGTGAGTTAAAACCTGTACATCACTCATTATACACCAAGTGATAATACATCAGAAGTGAAATCAGAATGAAAACATGACTCTATTGTTACAATGGAGCATGGACATACACAGGGTGATGTTTAAGTGAAGGCCATGGTAATCTGAGATAGTCCCTGAAAATTCATGAAAAAAAGAAAAATTCATGGCATTTCAGAAGAAGTAGAATATGTTTCATTTAACTCCATCTACATGGTGCTTAATTGCTTTGATTCATAAATAAATGCTGCCACTCCTACTGTCAAGGTATACTGTTTTTGAGAGTAAAATCAAAGACGGGGAAAATTCATGAAAAAAAGAAAAATTCATGGCATTTCAGAAGAAGTAGAATATGTTTCATTTAACTCCATCTACATGGTGCTTAACTGCTTTGATTCATAAATAAATGCTGCCACTCCTACTGTCAAGGTATACTGTTTTTGAGAGTAAAATCAAAGACGGGGAAACAGTTATCATGATTTTAATATTTATTAAGAAAATCCTGATCTATTTCTTGCGAGCCATGAATCTGTATTACCTATAGCTTGAATCAAATAGATGGTACAGTCACACCCTCTTGCTTCCATTGTTGGTAATACCATGAAAACATGAATCACAAAAAAAAAAAAAAAAAAATTCAACATTATCATAATTTGAGAAGGAAACAGTTTCCGTTCTAGTCCCTCATTTCACCTCATAGTCAATACACTGGATGTATACCATTTTCTCTAATTCCTTCTCCCAAGCTAGACAAAAAAGATTAAAAAATTGTACAGTATCACAGCAAAGTCTCATATGATGTAGGTGTTTGATACCTCAGTCTAACAGTTTATACTGGTATCAACACTGTGGGAGCCTTCAGGTCAGTTAAGGAAAAATTCAACACCATTCTTGAAATATTGGAGGAGTGAAGAAGATCTCTCACGTCAGCAAAAACACAAAATGATGAGATGATTCACTTCCTAACATATAAGACATGACATCATAATGATACAGTCACAAACACCACAGACATATATAAACAAACTGGCATCACTTCTGTACCAGAAAATGGAGATCACTTGTGAGTCCACATACAAAATTTCAATGAAATATGTTTATAAACAGTTTTCAACGTCACAAGGAGAATCTCTAATTTCTTGATGTACGAAGAATATGGCACAAAAGAGACAAAATCCAGGACCAGCCATTTAAATCAAAGCATGACAATAGCCATACTTACTTATAGTTCATACTCAGGATCAATTTGTCCTATTGCTTTCTTTTTGTTTTCTTTTTGAAAATGTCGCAAATTTAGGAAATTAAACCTTTTCACATTTCTAATGTATAATTTTGAGAAATACCTGTACCCAAAATTTTCCAACATTGTAAATGTTATTGACAAGCTTTGAGACAACTGGTCCAGATGTAAGGCTTAGCGACAGTTAGGGTTCGGGGACTCACATTGTGGAACATTACTTGTGATGGGGGTCGCTTGCTGGGACCTTTCGCTCGAGTGGTAGTTATGTGAGTCAATCTGTCTGAGGTCTGCACATTATCAAATGTGTCTAAAATAGAGCAAAAGTATATAGAATTAAAAATATCAGTATTTACAAATGTCACAATGAAGATAACTACCACTGCTTCAGTATACTAGAGGATGAGGAGTACTACAGCTGTTCCGGTATACTAGAGGATGAGGAGTACCACTGCTTCAGTATACTAGAGGATGAGGAGTACCACAGCTGTTCCGGTATACTAGAGGATGAGGAGTACCACAGCTGTTCCGGTATACTAGAGGATGAGGAGTACCACAGCTGTTCCGGTATACTAGAGGATGAGGAGTACCACTGCTTCAGTATACTAGAGGATGAGGAGTACCACTGCTTCAGTATACTAGAGGATGAGGAGTACCACAGCTGTTCCGGTATACTAGAGGATGAGGGGTACCACAGCTGTTCCGGTATACTAGAGGATGAGGGGTACCACAGCTGTTCCGGTATACTAGAGGATGAGGAGTACCACAGCTGTTCCAGTATACTAGAGGATGAGGAGTACCACAGCTGTTCCGGTATACTAGAGGATGAGGGGTACCACAGCTGTTCCGGTATACTAGAGGATGAGGAGTACCACAGCTGTTCCGGTATACTAGAGGATGAGGGGTACCACAGCTGTTCCGGTATACTAGAGGATGAGGGGTACCACAGCTGTTCCGGTATACTAGAGGATGAGGGGTACCACAGCTGTTCCGGTATACTAGAGGATGAGGGGTACCACAGCTGTTCAGCTGATTCCGGTATACTAGAGGATGAGGGGTACCACAGCTGTTCCGGTATACTAGAGGATGAGGGGTACCACAGCTGTTCCGGTATACTAGAGGATGAGGGGTACCACAGCTGTTCCGGTATACTAGAGGAGGAGGCTTAACACAGCTCTACCGGTATACTAGAGGATGAGGGGTACCACAGCTGTTCCGGTATACTAGAGGATGAGGGGTACCACAGCTGTTCCGGTATACTAGAGGATGAGGGGTACCACAGCTGTTCCGGTATACTAGAGGATGAGGGGTACCACAGCTGTTCCGGTATACTAGAGGATGAGGGGTACCACAGCTGTTCCGGTATACTAGAGGATGAGGGGTACCACAGCTGTTCCGGTATACTAGAGGATGAGGGGTACCACAGCTGTTCCGGTATACTAGAGGATGAGGGGTACCACAGCGGTATACTAGAGGATGAGGGGTACCACAGCTGTTCCGGTATACTAGAGGATGAGGGGTACCACAGCTGTTCCGGTATACTAGAGGATGAGGGGTACCACAGCTGTTCCGGTATACTAGAGGATGAGGGGTACCACAGCTGTTCCGGTATACTAGAGGATGAGGGGTACCACAGCTGTTCCGGTATACTAGAGGATGAGGGGTACTACAGCTGTTCCGGTATACTAGAGGATGAGGAGTACCACTGCTTCAGTATACTAGAGGATGAGGAGTACCACAGCTGTTCCGGTATACTAGAGGATGAGGAGTACTACAGCTGTTCCGGTATACTAGAGGATGAGGAGTACTACAGCTGTTCCGGTATACTAGAGGATGAGGAGTACCACAGCTGTTCCGGTATACTAGAGGATGAGGAGTACCACAGCTGTTCCGGTATACTAGAGGATGAGGAGTACCACAGCTGTTCCAGTATACTAGAGGATGAGGAGTACCACAGCTGTTCCGGTATACTAGAGGATGAGGAGTACCACAGCTGTTCCGGTATACTAGAGGATGAGGGAGTACCACAGCTGTTCCGGTAGAGTATACTAGAGGATGAGGAGTACCACAGCTGTTCCGGTATACTAGAGGATGAGGGGTACTACAGCTGTTCCGGTATACTAGAGGATGAGGAGTACTACAGCTGTGCCAGTATACTAGAGGATGAGGAGTACTACAGCTGTTCCGGCATACTAGAGGATGAGGAGTACCACAGCTGTTCCAGTATACTAGAGGATGAGGAGTACTACAGCTGTGCCAGTATACTAGAGGATGGGGAGTACTACAGCTGTTCCAGTATACTAGAGGATGAGGAGTACTACAGCTGTGCCAGTATACTAGAGGATGAGGAGTACTACAGCTCTTCCGGCATACTAGAGGATGAGGAGTACTACAGCTGTTCCAGTATGCTAGAGGATGAGGTTTCAATGACTTTAACAATATTAATCTACTTCAGACAAACAGATAAATCCAGGAAGACCTTACCATCAGTTACAGGTTTCACATTCAAATTTGTCCATTTCATTGCTTGTAAGTGAGAGTATTATATTTATGTCTTCATATGTCTTTCATTTCTGTAAAAATCTTACCACCAGATGTCTCTTTCTTTTCCTCCTTTGTATGTGTAACTTTTGGCTCATCTTTCTGTACAGGAATCTGAGGTTTCGGTTCTGCAGGTTTCGACTGTATGGGCTTTCTGCCGACAGGAGGTGGTACACTGGGTTTTTTGCCAGGTAGAGCATGAGGATGGTGTTTATCTGTCTGGTCTGTAACATAAACCATTTACTTCCTATATATCTTGTTACCGTAAAAACCCATGTAATGTCCGCACTTTTTTTCACCGAAAATCAATCCAAAAAAGGGGGTGTGGACATTACAGAGATATAGAGGAAATGACACTTTTTTCCTTCCGACAATTCATATCATATCTCCTTGAATTGTGTTCTTAAAAGCCAAGCATACCTGATATTATCGTTCTATGGTTTTTTCTATGATGTTTCCTCAACCAAACATGATAATTTATGATTATTTATTATAGTTTCCATGGTTAATTCCTTCCATTTTCTCGTTACAGGTTCGTATTGTGTCGTCCTTCGTAATAGGAAGCCATTTTGTTTGACTTTGTCACATGAATAAAGTTAGAGTTATTCCCCTTTCCCCATTGAAAAAGCATACCCATGAGCATATACAAAATAACACAACATTTTCATTCTACATTTTATTTACAAAATAACAATATATAACATGTACAAGAATAAAATAAATAATCAGACGTTTTATTGATTATGAATCGTTTATCAGAAAGTCTTAATACATAGCAGGCCGTTTTAATCGCGTTTCTCGAAACTCCAGAAGTCGTCGTCGTCGTCACTGTGGAAGAACTCCTCGGCATTGAAGTTGTCTTCCTCTGTCTGGTCGTTGTAATAAATGGCGTTCTCGTCGTCTGATGGTGTGTCAGTAGGGTCAGTGGCGCCGTGGGTCATGGGTGGGTCATGTTACTGTATAGTTATCGTTAATTGGCTAATCACACGCTGTCACTCACTCACACTCGAGGTGAGGAGACGACCCAAGCTGTTTATAACACTGCTGGGCTAACCCTTATCAAAACACCACTTATCGAAATGAGGACTTGTCATACTGGTAAGCTTACTGTGCCAGTATGGAGAATAACTGTTGTTATAAACAATTAAGTGAATTCTTGAATGGTACCTGTATGTTATACACAATGCGACATGCTCTCGGCCATTACGACATTAGCGTACGTGAAATGAAATCGGCAGCTTCAATTTGCATTTTTTACCCGCGGACATTACATGGAAGGTGGGTAATTGTTGTAGCCCTACATATCCCATTGTTTCAAACTGTCAGCATGGAATCAACTCATTTTGTATAGGTGGATTATTCTAGCCATTGAACCTATTCCTTTTGTAAGTTATGTTCTTGCTTTTAACATTACCTGGTACATAGATCTGATGCATTTACCTTCCTTTTTCTTAGTCTCCTCTGTACAGGTAGACTCTGGTGAGACTAATGTGTCTTGTGATGGGGTACTTACCCTCCTTTTTCTTAGTCTCCTCTGTAGAGGTAGACAGGTAGACTCTGGTGAGACTAATGTGTCTTGTGATGGGGTACTTACCCTCCTTTTTCTTAGTCTCCTCTGTAGAGGTAGACTCTGGTGAGACTAATGTGTCTTGTGATGGGGTACTTACCCTCCTTTTTCTTAGTCTCCTCTGTACAGGTAGACTCTGGTGAGACTAATGTGTCTTGTGATGGGATACTTACCTTCCTTTTTCTTAGTCTCCTCTGTACAGGTAGACTCTGGTGAGACTAATGTGTCTTGTGATGGGGTACTTACCTTCCTTTTTCTTAGTCTCCTCTGTACAGGTAGACTCTGGTGAGACTAATGTGTCTTGTGATGGGGTACTTACCTTCCTTTTTCTTAGTCTCCTCTGTACAGGTAGACTCTGGTGAGACTAATGTGTCTTGTGATGGGGTACTTACCCTCCTTTTTCTTAGTCTCCTCTGTAGAGGTAGACTCTGGTGAGACTAATGTGTCTTGTGATGGGGTACTTACCCTCCTTTTTCTTAGTCTCCTCTGTACAGGTAGTGGTGAGACTAATGTGTCTTGTGATGGGTACTTACCCTCCTTTTTCTTAGTCTCCTCTGTAGAGGTAGACTCTGGTGAGACTAATGTGTCTTGTGATGGGGTACTTACCCTCCTTTTTCTTAGTCTCCTCTGTAGAGGTAGACTCTGGTGAGACTGATGTGTCTTGTGATGGGGTACTTACCCTCCTTTTTCTTAGTCTCCTCTGTAGAGGTAGACTCTGGTGAGACTGATGTGTCTTGTGATGGGGTACTTACCCTCCATTTTCTTAGTCTCCTCTGTAGAGGTAGACTCTGGTGAGACTGATGTCTCATGTGATGCGGTACTTACCCTCCTTTTTCTTCATCTTCTCTGTAGAGACAGGCTCTGGTGGGAGGGGCTTATCATGTTTGTCATGTTTGGCAGCATCAGACACAGGTGCCTTCTCTGGAAGTTTTGGTGGCTGTTTGTTGGATCCTGGTGGTGGGGGCTTCTTGGGACGTGGCTATAACACAAGCAAAGTCATTGTCACCTTGGATACTATAAGGTCATGTTCATAGTTTTTCAGGGTCAAAAACACAAACTCAGGAGAATAGGGTCAAGGCCACAAGCAATTCTACACAAAGACATGGATCACCCATTCTGCTTTACCTAACGTTGATCTTTTCTACTAGGAAGAATGGACAGATCTAAACAGATATTTTAATATTGTGTGGATCTGTTCAGATCTGACAGATTACCGGTATACATTATAATCTTACAGACAGCTCACAACCATTAGCAGACTCTATCAGGCAGGAGGCAGAGTATGTGTCTGAAGAGGTATAGTATTCAGTAATGTCAATCACACAAGGATCTCATTCATGGTGATCATGAAAATCCACTATTATTACAGAAATCTTATTGTTAGGTATTATTTAAACATAAAACTTTATTATATGACTAATGAAGTTAGTCGACTTTGCATTGATTCCTAATCACTGTACAGATGTTTTCTTGACACATGATCCTGCCTATTGCTGCTCAGATTCAATGACATAGCCTGATGTAAGTAAAGAAAATAATAACCAGGATTAAACTAAATTCCTTTCCCATCACTTTGTTCCAAACATTTTTTTTTTTTAAATTAGAAATTTGAAAAATCAATGCCAAAACAAAAATAATATGATGTAATTTGAACTAGTAGATATAGAAGTAAGGAAGACGATAAGAGGTACAACCGGCAGGAGAGGCGATGGACTGGATTTTTTGGAGGACAACATTGTGTTGGATGAGCAATTTACAGGAGTCAGTGCATTTCTAACTCCACAAAAATTCCTACAAAGTTACACAGAACTATTTCACATGGGTTGAATTCTCCTTTTTATGCAGTCTATTCTGTAGTGTTGGTAAAAATAGGCAAGAAAGATCCTTAATGTGCCACAGTATCCCAACTGATTCAAGACCACCAGCAATGCTAATTCTGGTACAAGAAGAATAGTTCTGGCTGGTACAAGAAGAATAGTTCTGGCTGGTACAAGAAGAATAGTTCTGGCTGGCACGAGATATGGAATAGTTCTGGCTGGCAAGAGATATGGAATAGTTCTGGCTGGCACGAGATATGGAATAATTCTGGCTGGCACGAGATATGGAATAATTCTGGCTGGCACGAGATATGGAATAATTCTGGCTGGCACGAGATATGGAATAATTCAGACTACGCTGTTTATGGTAGAAGGAATTCCTCACACTGCTGTCTGTTATGTCCTCATCACATTGTGGCATTAATGACTATCTTTACGTCCATGCTTCCCCCACCTAAGGTGTCATCACAGCTTTACACACTACACATAGCCCTCTAAACACAAATGTCAAATGACTTCTGTGTATTTCTGCTTGTATTCATTCATCACAGGAATTTTTTTTCTCTACTGAACATGTCTTCAAAATTGAGTTAATTCAAATATGTATGCTGATCTGGTTTAAAGTTCTCAACCCAGTTCTTAATGATTCAAAGTTATACTGCTACAAAATCCTGACCATCCAGCAATGATGTGGCACATCATGACTGTAAACAATGGTGTTCTATTTCCCTTTATCTAATACTTCCTTCACATCTCACCAGGAATTGTCCCGATTAACTCCCGAATCATTCCGCTCCCATTTTCCTTCTGGAGTATTGACTAGTTAGAGATCCAGTGAATGTCACTCCCCTTACATACAGCTACACATACGCATGTGTCCTGAGGACACAATTAGCCCCAAGCAATTAGCTGGTATACCTACTGTTTATATACAGTTAAATGTAGGGCAGACTGATGCAGGACACATCCTTAATACAATGTGTGCACACACAGGCTAAAACATTACTTGGATAATCTAATCCACTTCAAACTCTTTCTCTTCTAAACACAATAATGGGAACAAGGTAAAAGTTTACAACTACATATAAAGTTAGAATGTGTATTCCAAGGAAAGAAATGAACAGTGACGGTCCCTATCTCCAGTTAGAATGTATTCAAGGATAATAACTCTTTGATTTTCATTTGTCAAGACATGTAGAATAAAGTGTAGAACTGGATGCCAGATTTTAATTCAAAATAAAACGAACATGTAGCTGATCATTAACATATAACATTGCCACATTTTCAATCTTTCCACTAATGTACAGGCTTGTAAAACTCTAAATTGATGACCAAAATAAAGTGTGTACAAAAACACAAACAATTAAGGTTGCTGCTAATCCATCTACGTACATATAGCATGCATTGAAACACGTTTGTTATGTATAGGTGTCACATGCACAACAACATAATATATCATAACACAGCAGTCATTCTCAGAAAACCTTTACAGGGACGGGGAAAATATCTAAAGCTGTCTGACCTGTTCATGTGAACCTGTGTAATGTAAAGACAGGTCTGACTTGGTTTAAAATAAAACTGTAAACTGAACATCTACAAACCTGTGTAAAGTGACCACCTACAAACCTGTGTAATGTGACCACCTACAAACCTGTGTAAACTGAACACCTACAAACCTGTGTAAAGTGAACACTGACAAACATGTATAAAGTGACCACTGACAAACCTGTATAAAGTGAACACTGACAAACCTGTATAAAGTGAACACCTACAAACCTGTATAAAGTGAACACTGACAAACCTGTATAAAGTGACCACCTACAAACCTGTGTAAAGTAAACACTGACAAACCTGTGTAAAGTGAACACCTACAAACCTGTGTAAAGTGAACACTGACAAACCTGTGCAAAGTGAACACCTACAAACCTGTATAAAGTGAACACCTACAAACCTGTGTAAAGTGACCACCTACAAACCTGTATAAAGTGAACACCTACAAACCTGTATAAAGTGAACACTGACAAACCTGTGTAAAGTGAACACTGACAAACCTGTATAAAGTGAACACTGACAAACCTGTATAAAGTGACCACCTTAAAACCTGTATAAAGTGACCACTGACAAACCTGTATAAAGTGAACACTGACAAACCTGTATAAAGTGAACACTGACAAACCTGTGTAAAGTAAACACTGACAAACCTGTATAAAGTGAACACCTACAAACCTGTGTAAAGTGACCACTGACAAACCTGTGCAAAGTGAACACCTACAAACCTGTATAAAGTGAACACCTACAAACCTGTGTAAAGTGTTTAAAGTGAACACCTACAAACCTGTCTAAAGTGAACACCTACAAACAAACCTGTTTAAAGTGAACACTTACAAACCTGTATAAAGTGAACACCTACAAACCTGTATAAAGTGAACACTGACAAACCTGTATAAAGTGAACACCTAAAAACCTGTATAAAGTGAACACTGACAAACCTGTATAAAGTGAACACTGACAAACCTGTATAAAGTGAACACTGACAAACCTGTATAAAGTGAACACCTACAAACCTGTATAAAGTGAACACTGACAAACCTGTGTAAAGTGAACAAACCTGTGCAAAGTGAACACCTACAAACCTGTATAAAGTGAACACCTACAAACCTGTGTAAAGTGACCACCAACAAACCTGTATAAAGTGAACACCTACAAACCTGTATAAAGTGAACACTGACAAACCTGTGTAAAGTGAACACTGACAAACCTGTATAAAGTGAACACTGACAAACCTGTATAAAGTGACCACCTTAAAACCTGTATAAAGTGACCACTGACAAACCTGTATAAAGTGAACACCTACAAACATGTGTAAAGTGAACACTGACAAACCTGTGCAAAGTGAACACCTACAAACCTGTATAAAGTGAACACCTACAAACCTGTGTAAAGTGACCACCAACAAACCTGTATAAAGTGAACACCTACAAACCTGTATAAAGTGAACACTGACAAACCTGTGTAAAGTGAACACTGACAAACCTGTATAAAGTGAACACTGACAAACCTGTATAAAGTGACCACCTTAAAACCTGTATAAAGTGACCACTGACAAACCTGTATAAAGTGAACACTATAAAGTGAACACTGACAAACCTGTATAAAGTGAACACTGACAAACCTGTGTAAAGTAAACACTGACAAACCTGTATAAAGTGAACACCTACAAACCTGTGTAAAGTGACCACTGACAAACCTGTGCAAAGTGAACACCTACAAACCTGTATAAAGTGAACACCTACAAACCTGTGTAAAGTGACCACCTACAAACCTGTGTAAAGTGAACACCTACAAACCTGTATAAAGTGAACACTGACAAACCTGTGTAAAGTGAACACCTACAAACCTGTATAAAGTGAACACCTACAAACCTGTATAAAGTGACCACCAACAAACCTGTATAAAGTGAACACCTACAAACCTGTATAAAGTGAACACTGACAAACCTGTGTAAAGTGAACACCTACAAACCTGTATAAAGTGAACACTGACAAACCTGTATAAAGTGAACACTGACAAACCTGTATAAAGTGAACACCTACAAACCTGTATAAAGTGAACACTGACAAACCTGTATAAAGTGACCACCTACAAACCTGTGTAAAGTAAACACTGACAAACCTGTGTAAAGTGAACACCTACAAACCTGTGTAAAGTGAACACTGACAAACCTGTGCAAAGTGAACACCTACAAACCTGTATAAAGTGAACACCTACAAACCTGTGTAAAGTGACCACCAACAAACCTGTATAAAGTGAACACCTACAAACCTGTATAAAGTGAACACTGACAAACCTGTGTAAAGTGAACACTGACAAACCTGTATAAAGTGAACACTGACAAACCTGTATAAAGTGACCACCTTAAAACCTGTATAAAGTGACCACTGACAAACCTGTGTAAAGTGACCACCTTAAAACCTGTATAAAGTGACCACTGACAAACCTGTATAAAGTGACCACCTTAAAACCTGTATAAAGTGACCACTGACAAACCTGTATAAAGTGAACACTGACAAACCTGTGTAAAGTGAACACTGACAAACATGTATAAAGTGAACACTGATAAACCTGTATAAAGTGAACACTGACAAACCTGTACAAAGTGACCACTGACAAACCTGTGTAAAGTGAACACTGACAAACCTGTATAAAGTGAACACTGACAAACCTGTATAAAGTGACCACTGACAAACCTGTGTTAAGTGAACACTGACAAACCTGTATAAAATGAACACCTACTAACCTGTATAAAGTGAACACCTACAAACCTGTATAAAGTGACCACTGACAAACCTGTATAAAGTGAACACTGACAAACTTTTCTAAAAAGAATGACTCAGCACATACACAGTGACAGCAGTTTTGATTGGTATCTATGATCACACATGGAGGGAAGTTGAATTTCCTCTACACTTAGCTATGTAATATTATTTCATATAGAGACTTTGGTCTGACCCATGATCCCTTCAGACCACTGATAACATCATCCCTCCTAATAGAGGCTCAGTTCAAAGTGACTCTCTAGGGGAGAGAAGGATTAACATATGACTAAAATCCATCAGGATGTAATAGTACTTCATAATCTGTGATATTTGTTAAATTTTTCAAATCAAATGTTACCATTCCCTTTGCTGTGTTCATCAGTATATGTGAATATGTGATATCTGGCAAAGTGGTGTGCTAAAGGAATTATGTTGGAGATGAGGATGATATATTATACCAATGTAGTATTTCCCTGACAAAGTATACAGAAGGTAAGAGACAATCTTATCACACTTACTTACATATCAAAATTTTAACAATTTCTATCGGTCTAACAGAAGAGGATTTCCTAGTGTATACTATTGGGGACAGGAACAAGTTATATCTGATGTGAGAAAGCATGGTACTTTGCTGGCGTCTGACAGCAAGACACCAGGAAATTAAGGGAAAACCCAGGGCTAGAAACCAAAACTGGACTTTCTTGAAAACATATTGAACATTAACCTCAACCTCAGGAAGGGGTCATTATAATTCAGTCAATATAGCATCACCATTTACAACCTCAAGTACAGAGCTGAGGTGTGTGGTTTGATCCCTAAAAGGGAAGTTTGTGTTTTTCAGGTGAAGATCTGAGGTGTGTGGTTTGATTCCTACCAGGGAGGTTTGTGTTCCTCAGGTGAAGATCTGAGGTGTGTGGTTTGGTCCCTACTTGTGATGGTTAGTGTTTCTCAGGTAAAGATCTGAGGTGTGTAGTTTGATCCCTACTTGTGATGGTTAGTGTTTCTCAGGTAAAGATCAGAGGTGTGTGGTTTGGTCCCCACCAGGGGGGTTTGTGTTTCTCAGGTGAAGATCTAAGGTGTGTGGTTTGATCCCTACCAGTGATGGTTTGTGTTTCTCAGGTGAAGATCTGAGGTGTGTAGTTTGATCCCTACTTGTGATGGTTAGTGTTTCTCAGGTAAAGATCAGAGGTGTGTGGTTTGGTCCCCACCAGGGGGGTTTGTGTTTCTCAGGTGAAGATCTAAGGTGTGTGGTTTGATCCCTACTTGTGATGGTTTGTGTTTCTCAGGTAAAGATCAGAGGTGTGTGGTTTGATCCCTACTTGTGATGGTTAGTGTTTCTCAGGTAAAGATCAGAGGTGTGTGGTTTGGTCCCTACTTGTGATGGTTAGTGTTTCTCAGGTAAAGATCAGAGGTGTGTGGTTTGGTCCCTACTTGTGATGGTTAGTGTTTCTCAGGTAAAGATCAGAGGTGTGTAGTTTGATCCCTACTTGTGATGGTTAGTGTTTCTCAGGTAAAGATCAGAGGTGTGTGGTTTGGTCCCTACTTGTGATGGTTAGTGTTTCTCAGGTAAAGATCAGAGGTGTGTGGTTTGGTCCCCACCAGGGGGGTTTGTGTTTCTCAGGTGAAGATCTAAGGTGTGTGGTTTGATCCCTACCAGTGATGGTTTGTGTTTCTCAGGTGAAGATCTGAGGTGTGTAGTTTGATCCCTACTTGTGATGGTTAGTGTTTCTCAGGTAAAGATCAGAGGTGTGTGGTTTGGTCCCCACCAGGGGGGTTTGTGTTTCTCAGGTGAAGATCTAAGGTGTGTGGTTTGATCCCTACCAGTGATGGTTTGTGTTTCTCAGGTGAAGATCTGAGGTGTGTAGTTTGATCCCTACCAGTGATGGTTTGTGTTTCTCAGGTGAAGATCTGAGGTGTGTAGTTTGATCCCTACCAGTGATGGTTTGTGTTTCTCAGGTGAAGATCTGAGGTGTGTAGTTTGATCCCTACCAGTGATGGTTTGTGTTTCTCAGGTGAAGATCTGAGGTGTGTGGTTTGGTCCCCACCAGGGGGGTTTGTGTTTCTCAGGTGAAGATCGGAGGTGTGTGGTTTGATTCCTACCTGGGGGGTTTGTCTTTCTCAGGTGAAGATCGGAGGTGTATGTTTTGGTCCCCACCAGGGAGGTTTATATTTCTAAAATGAAGAACTCATGTGTGTGGTTTGATCCCTACCCAGATAGATTTGTATCTCTCAGGACTGTCCACTGCTGTTATTGTTTGGTCCTTCAACAAGACACTTTACCCCTATTGCTGTGGATAGTGTGGACCCAACTCATGATGATCAATTAAGTAGTCACCAGGTACTACCAGGAGATGTGGATAGTGTGGGCCCAACTCATGATGATCAATGAAGTAGTCACCAGGTACTACCAGGAGATGTGGATAGTGTGGGCCCAACTCATGATGATCAATGAAGTAGTCACCAGGTACGACCAGGAGATGTGGATAGTGTGGGCCCAACTCATGATGATCAATGAAGTAGTCACCAGGTACTACCAGGAGATGTGGATAGTGTGGGCCCAACTCATGATGATCAATGAAGTAGTCACCAGGTACTACCAGGAGATGTGGATAGTGTGGGCCCAACTCATGATGATCAATGAAGTAGTCACCAGGTACTACCAGGAGATGTGGATAGTGTGGGCCCAACTCATGATGATCAATGAAGTAGTCACCAGGTACTACCAGGAGATGTGGATAGTGTGGGCCCAACTCATGATGATCAATGAAGTAGTCACCAGGTACTACCAGGAGATGTGGATAGTGTGGGCCCAACTCATGATGATCAATGAAGTAGTCACCAGGTACGATCAGGAGATGTGGATAGTGTGGACCCAACTCATGATGATCAATTAAATAGTCACCAGGTACTACCTGGAGATGTGGATAGTGTGGGCCCAACTCATGATGATCAATGAAGTAGTCACCAGGTACTACCTGGAGATGTGGATAGTGTGGGCCCAACTCATGATGATCAATGAAGTAGTCACCAGGTACTACCTGGAGATGTGGATAGTGTGGGCCCAACTCATGATGATCAATTAAGTAGTCACCAGGTACTACCAGGAGATGTGGATAGTGTGGGCCCAACTCATGATGATCAATTAAGTAGTCACCAGGTACGACCAGGAGATGTGGATAGTGTGGGCCCAACTCATGATGATCAATTAAGTAGTCACCAGGTACGACCAGGAGATGTGGATAGTGTGGGCCCAACTCATGATGATCAATGAAGTAGTCACCAGGTACGACCAGGAGATGTGGATAGTGTGGGCCCAACTCATGATGATCAATTAAATAGTCACCAGGTACGACCAGGAGATGTGGATAGTGTGGGCCCAACTCATGATGATCAATGAAGTAGTCACCAGGTACGACCAGGAGATGTGGATAGTGTGGGCCCAACTCATGATGATCAATTAAATAGTCACCAGGTACGACCAGGAGATGTGGATAGTGTGGGCCCAACTCATGATGATCAATTAAATAGTCACCAGGTACGACCAGGAGATGTGGATAGTGTGGGCCCAACTCATGATGATCAATTAAGTAGTCACCAGGTACTACCAGGAGATGTGGATATTGTGGGCCCAACTCATGATGATCAATTAAATAGTCACCAGGTACGACCTGGAGATGTGGATAGTGTGGGCCCAACTCATGATGATCAATGAAGTAGTCACCAGGTACGACCAGGAGATGTGGATAGTGTGGGCCCAACTCATGATGATCAATGAAGTAGTCACCAGGTACGACCAGGAGATGTGGATAGTGTGGGCCCAACTCATGATGATCAATGAAGTAGTCACCAGGTACGACCAGGAGATGTGGATAGTGTGGGCCCAACTCATGATGATCAATGAAGTAGTCACCAGGTACGACCAGGAGATGTGGATAGTGTGGGCCCAACTCATGATGATCAATTAAGTAGTCACCAGGTACGACCAGGAGATGTGGATAGTGTGGGCCCAACTCATGATGATCAATGAAGTAGTCACCAGGTACGACCAGGAGATGTGGATAGTGTGGGCCCAACTCATGATGATCAATTAAGTAGTCACCAGGTACGACCAGGAGATGTGGATAGTGTGGGCCCAACTCATGATGATCAATTAAGTAGTCACCAGGTACGACCAGGAGATGTGGATAGTGTGGGCCCAACTCATGATGATCAATTAAGTAGTCACCAGGTACGACCAGGAGATGTGGATAGTGTGGGCCCAACTCATGATGATCAATTAAGTAGTCACCAGGTACGACCAGGAGATGTGGATAGTGTGGGCCCAACTCATGATGATCAATTAAGTAGTCACCAGGTACGACCAGGAGATGTGGATAGTGTGGGCCCAACTCATGATGATCAATGAAGTAGTCACCAGGTACGACCAGGAGATGTGGATAGTGTGGGCCCAACTCATGATGATCAATTAAGTAGTCACCAGGTACGACCAGGAGATGTGGATAGTGTGGGCCCAACTCATGATGATCAATTAAGTAGTCACCAGGTACGACCAGGAGATGTGGATAGTGTGGGCCCAACTCATGATGATCAATTAAGTAGTCACCAGGTACGACCAGGAGATGTGGATAGTGTGGGCCCAACTCATGATGATCAATTAAGTAGTCACCAGGTACGACCAGGAGATGTGGATAGTGTGGGCCCAACTCATGATGATCAATGAAGTAGTCACCAGGTACGACCAGGAGATGTGGATAGTGTGGGCCCAACTCATGATGATCAATGAAGTAGTCACCAGGTACGACCAGGAGATGTGGATAGTGTGGGCCCAACTCATGATGATCAATGAAGTAGTCACCAGGTACGACCAGGAGATGTGGATAGTGTGGGCCCAACTCATGATGATCAATGAAGTAGTCACCAGGTACGACCAGGAGATGTGGATAGTGTGGGCCCAACTCATGATGATCAATGAAGTAGTCACCAGGTACGACCAGGAGATGTGGATAGTGTGGGCCCAACTCATGATGATCAATGAAGTAGTCACCAGGTACGACCAGGAGATGTGGATAGTGTGGGCCCAACTCATGATGATCAATGAAGTAGTCACCAGGTACGACCAGGAGATGTGGATAGTGTGGGCCCAACTCATGATGATCAATGAAGTAGTCACCAGGTACGATCAGGAGATGTGGATAGTGTGGGCCCAACTCATGATGATCAATGTAGTCACCAGGTACGACCAGGAGATGTGGATAGTGTGGGCCCAACTCATGATGATCAATTAAGTAGTCACCAGGTACGACCAGGAGATGTGGATAGTGTGGGCCCAACTCATGATGATCAATGTAGTCACCAGGTACGACCAGGAGATGTGGATAGTGTGGGCCCAACTCATGATGATCAATGTAGTCACCAGGTACGACCAGGAGATGATAACTGACTTAATAAAAGCAGGTTGTTTATAGGCTATAGTTACCCAGCATACATACAAA